ATATACCCATGGCGATATATAAGTGCATGGATATTAATCCATTTGCAGTCGCGGCTCTGCATAAGACAAATCGGGCAGCGGAACCGATTTCTCGGCCAAAACTTGCGACGCTGCAAAACGAGCGCATTATTTAATAATACCGTTTGTTTATTGAATCGCAGTCAAAACTTTTGGCACAGACGGAAACCCAGCTCCCCTGGACCCCGCCCCCCGACATCTCCTCCCCCAGTTGGCCGCAAGTTGGTGGGGCTGGAATTCGGGAGGTTCACTTTGGGGTAGTACTACACAGACGGAAAGGTATGATGATAAACGATATATGATATGATGGGATATGATCAACATTTAGTGATTATTATTAGTGTAAAAATATTTAATTTATTTTAATTTTGTTAATAATGTTCATGTGATTATTGCTTACTAAATTCAAATTTCAGGTGGGATCAAACAGGTTTAAACAAGGATTTGTCGTAGTAAAGACTTCACTATAACTTTGTAATATGTTGTTTAGTTGGATAGACATCTTAGCCTTATCAGCTTCAGTTGGGGATATAAAAATAAATATACAATTAATAAAGAAATTCTTATGTTTCAACTTGAAACTTATGATGCCATTTTATTGTTTAAGTTTTTACATTTATTTTATTAGACTTAAATTTATCTGATGCATAAAATATTGAAATTATGGTTTAAATTTAAATATTTTTAATTAATATTTCAATTAATATTTTTTCTGTGTAATTGGTGGGGTGGTGCAGTCGTCGACGGCAACGGCGATAGCATGGGCAAAAGGTATAGGTAAAGGCAAAGGCAAAGGCAACGCCGGCATGTCTGTCACACCCCGAAAAGTGAAATAGCTTCTGTCAATATTCTGTCAATAGGCACATGTTTTCCGCTGCCGAGTGGGGTGGCGATTGCCAAACCAAACCGAAACTGGAGCCACGGGGGCCTTTTGCTGCGTTTTCCCTTTCGCCTGATATTTAATCGATCTCCTGGCAATGAACATAGATCAATATTGCGTCCGAAGTGAGTTCTTTTTGGGGGCTCGACCCATTTTTGGCGCCAGTCCTGTGCAGAGTATAATATGGGTTCATTTGAGTTTATTAGGGATTGGTGGTTTCAAAAAGTATAAATTCTTTAAATTTTTTGAAATTTTTTTTTAAACTTGTATTAGCTAAACCCTTCTATATAACGGAAAAAGCTCGTATATAAAGACAATCTTTGGACAATTTAAATATACATATCTGACTTTAGAAGTTACTACAGTTGCTTATCAAAAAATCGCACTAAAAATCTGTTTTTGCGTTGTTTTTTCATATAAAATATTCCTTCAATAGTATTTCGTGTTTTCAAACTTTACATCAAACTTTACATCAAAATCGCTTTCATCTCCCCATAAAAATGTACATATTTTCTCCCACTCCATATTAAAACATAAAAAATATGTAAAATGCCGCTCCATATTAAAACGTAAACAATATATTGTAAAATTTACATATATGTAAAATTCCAGTCCATATTAAATCGCAAGCAGTCGCTATTGCTGTTGCCCTTGTTCAGTTGCAGAATAAAGACGTCCTCGCATTTATCTGCATAAACTTATAGCGCAAAGTATCTCATCTCCCGAGGAAAGCAAGACCCGAGAGTCTAGGGTCAAGTAAGTACACTCCAGATGCATGTACGTACGAGTGCATGTAGGTACCAACATCTGTGTGGAGGGTAGACAAGGATCTGGATCTGGAGTCGCCTTAGCTGGGCTCCACAGTCCGCAGACTCTGGGATATGGGAACTGGGAACTGGGAACCGGGAACCGGCAGCTCCGACACTTTTCTTTGGCCGCTGGCCATTGCAACCCATGCACCATAATTTTCAATAGCTATTCAAATTCTTTGAAGTTCTCGAGGTCACCTAACGGATGCAAGAAGGCATTGAAATTGATCCAGGCCATGAGCATCGCATCGCATCGCATGGTATCGCAGTTGCCACTGCCAACTGAAAAGTGGCGAACTTGCCATCCGCTGGGTTTTTGGCTCTTGGTTTTGGTTTGGGCCACCAAACCGGATGGCTGGCTGCACTTCGATAGTCATACTTATTCCATAGTCCCTTGCAGCTCTTTGTTTTTTTTCTCCGCTTTTTTTCTTGTTGTGCCGCGGCCAAGATGCATCATCACATCGGCACAATCGCATCAGCCAGTATACCATCCTATCCCATCCTATCCCGCACATTTATCTGGCAAGCAATTCCAATTTCTTCTGTTACTCCGGGTAATCACTGGTTTTCCAACCAATCAGGGGGTTAAATTGCATCAAGATGCTTACTTAAAACAAAGTCGTTCTTATAAAAGCAGCATAAAGCCGCATGACTTTAATTAGGATACCGAACCGCCTGGCATTCCCCATCTTAATTAATTGTATATCCTATAAAAAGGCAGATTTTACAATGTGCATTAAATGTATAGAATTGCTTTATGAAGTTGGGTTTACATGTGTTTTCAATGCAAGAGGATCCTAAAAGATTTTTTATATAACCTAATTAGGTGTCTCGGATTACCGAAACTTTAGGTTTTATACTTAGATCGTGAGATCAGGGCTAAGTGATTAAAAAACATGCATTATAAGGATGTGGACTGTTTTAACTAAGCAAGATTTTTTTATCCAAACAAGTTGTTAATGAAGGAAAAAATCCTGACTTCCCGAGGAAATACTTGCTCAAAAGCAATCAGTTTTTTAATGGAAACTTAAGTACCTACGCATATCAGATTACGAGCTAATGAGCGTATGCATGAGAAATAATGGTATCGGGATCGGGATCGGGATCCTCCTCCTCTCGCATAACGGTGGTGTCATCAAGGTAACGACCTTAAGAATAACAGATGTTGGATCCCAGGAATTTGCATACTGGAAACCAAAACTGAACTGAAAACAACCTGCCCAATATAAAGCCAGCCTGGTGTTAAGTATAAGCTTGAAAATGAGCCAAAAGCAGAAGATAAAAAGAAAGAAGTATATACATTAATGTAATGTAATGAACCAGTTCGCCCATGGTCGCATATTAGCCATCCTGGCGAAGTACTTCATTTGCGGCAGTGCCTAAGCTTCTTGGTTGGCTTATGGTTAGCTCTCCTTGGCACCGAGATGCAAATGAAATATGCGCCGGCATTAAGAGCAGAATTACAAATTTCAGAGGAGTGCGAGAGGCAGCTGCCTCTGGCTTCTGGCTTCCATAGCCAAGCTCCATGTAGATGGCTATGTGGCGCTGCCTTCTGCACGGTGGCCATTTCCTGGCATTTTAACTGGTTTTGTTTGACGGTGGTTACAATTAGCGGCTATTTAAATTGCCACGCATGAGCCGCTATTAATTACGGAACGATGGCACCGCAGCCGAAACCGAGAAAAAGTGGTTTACGCCAGGTATTCGCGGGGTATTCGGGGGATTGAAACCGTTAAACGGAAGCTCAAACGCCTTTCAAGTACCGAAGTTCACAGAAATGGTTTTAGAGAGGTAAGAAGGGGGCTCTAGAACCCATGCACTGATTTGGACTCGGGGGAATCACTTTTTATCAAACAGCAATTTGCACCTATCACTCGATTCAACCGCCGATCAGTGTCCCTTTTTTCCGAGGAGCTGTCTATATGTACCTGCTTTTTTCTTATTTTTTTTATTTTCCCATGGCACAATCACAACTAATGCACAGCGTATGGAGCCTCTAAATGTCGAATGAAGTCAGCGATAAATTCAGCTGGTTGATTAGCTGTTGGGGCAATAAATCCATCGCTTCACACCGCCACAAGTAATTGCCGACAAAGCGTCTTCGTCGCCAGAGCAGAGCCGTCTTCATCTCCATTTCGACAAAAAAGCTCAGCTCCGATCAGCTCAGCTCAGCGACTCGGGAAGGGGAAGACGGTCGACGAAGACTTGCGTCCATCCATCCATCTATTCTCTGGACTGGACTATCGGACTCGGACTCTCGAGCTCTCCAGCTCTGAGTAAGAATGTGTGCCGGCCAATATTTTATCAAACCTGACATTTCCTCGTGTAGCTCCGATTATGGCCCGGGTTGCGACGAGGTCGCGATTCTCTGCCAGCACAGCGGCATTGATTGCCACTGCCCATGTGTATTTATTCCGCTGCTTATGTTTATGTTGACATTGACATATCTCGCGTCTTATCGGTTTGCAATAAGTGTACGCCGTTCCATCGCACAGGCACTGCAGCAATGAGCCGGCATCGCTTTAACGTTCTGTTCGGTTCTGTTTGGCCAATGTCGCCACAATATCGATATTGGTGTATAGGTATTATGGCCGAGGACCCTGGCGACAACTCCAGCTTGGCTAGGGCCCTCTTGTCCCGGGTGAAATGGACAATGACCTGCCGCAATGAACGGGTTTGGCCATTAGCAGTAAGTTATTTGGCAAACGAAATTAGAGATGCACAGTACTTAAAAGGTAGAGTTCATATTAGAGCCCTGCGTGAATCATTCAATTTTTGTTTGTAGTATGCCATTAAATTTCTGATTTGTTTAATTCAATTCTATTTGAAATAAACTGAATGTTTTTCTAATTCATTTCGAATTGAATGAATAAATGAATTATTTTTATGAATTTTTTAAACTTGCCAGATTTTTTGGGCAAAAGGGGAACATTTTTAACAAATCAAATATAGGCAGATTTAATCACAAAATTATAGCCTTTTCATCTTCAAATAAATTGTCGTTTGATTAATTTTGGAATTCAAAATTCAAATTCATTCAATTTTATTAAACTTAAAATTGTAATTAATTCATTCATATAAAACAAAAAATTCAAAATAATTCATTGAATTTATTCCTCCAGGGCTCATATCCTACTTCCCTAAAGGGAATCATCAATGTATCTAATTAAAGTTAATTTTTTCCGTTGAAAAGATAATTTATAAATTAACTATATATTTTTAATCATATTAAAATTTGTATAATTTATTTTAGAATTATTTGTCACATAATAATGAAATCTTTAAATATAGCCTTTTTTGCTTAAGTAATTTTAGACGTAAATATTCGAATTAATTTAAGGACGGTTTTGTACATGTTTTCATTGTCAATTAAAGCACCACAGAGCAGAGCAAGCTCCGGCTTGGAGTTCTAAAAATAGTTCACAATTTGCACTGAATTCTAATGACTGCATGGCTAACAACATTCTATTCTTTCCGTTTAGAACTAAGCACAATCGGTGGCCAATTTACTAATGCTGAGCATAAGAGGTTACCAAGTCGCAAGAAGTATTTACATAAATATTCAATTACTACTATCTAATTGCACCAGGCAGCATCGAATTGGCATTTGTTATAGAACCAGCGTGTCATCCAAGAGTTTCTCTTCGACATGTTAGTAATCTCCGCATTCAGATTGAAGTTCTTCAGATCCCGCTGTGAAAAATAAACGAATTAGTTAATGGCTCAGATTTATGGTGAATATTCTACGTACAATTGGTTGGGGGAAAATGCGCTTCATGTCCACGCGATGCAAGTGCTCCTGATGAGCTTGCTGCAGCATTCGGTACTCCGATCCACTGAGGCATTGCAGGCAGAGATCGCACTCGGCCTTGTTGCAGGACTTGTCGCAGTCGTGGGCAGCGCATTTGTTTAAGTCGGTGGCCAGGTTCTTATCGGCTGTGATCATTTCGCTGCTTTCACCAAACCTGTAAGGAATTCAATCATTAATCATTAACTAACTTATTAAGAATTTCTATATTTTATACTTACAAGCTTTTACTTGCTGCAGTTAGTGGCCTTATTCCGACCAGATTGAACACACTGTACAGAACTTGCTCGTACAAAAGCGAATTGGGCTTGAAATGAGCCGAAGAGAGATTGGGAGACATGTTGGCCTCCATGAGAAAGACCTTTAGATCCTCGTCGATGAACAGATCAAATCGCATCAGATCGAAGAAGTTATGTGTCCTGTAGGAGCCTAGAATATTCACAATGTCCCGATCCTTGGCCGCAATCGTTGTGCGGATTATGTGCTCCACCTGGGGCCAAATCTTGGCGGGATCCATCCCCTGATCTCGGACATAGGCCTCGAAAACGGTGCGCATGCTGCCGCCAAAGCGATTGTAGTACTTGCGCAGCGAAGGCACCTCCCAGGTGGGCAGATAGTCGTCGCCCACAATGTACTTGTCCACATTCTCGGCATCGAAGGGATGGTACTTCACGGGGCAGTACCGAAATAGAACGTCGCCCGTGTAGATATAAACACGCAGGGGATTCACCGAGGTGATGACCACATAGACTCCGATATCGAACTTGTGACCGTCCACGAGGAATGGCCGTTGGACGAACTCCTGGACAAAGGAGTCGTTGGATCCGTAGGCTATGTCCGCGGGAGCTCGCACTTTGATGTGCCGGTGTTCATTGTGTTTCTGGACAAAAAGTGCTTTGGGATTATCTCGGGCATACTCGAGAAACTCCTCCCGCTGGGCGGGCAATCGGAAGGCAGGCGGCAGGAAGGGCAGCTTGGTGGTGCACAGGTCCACCTTGTTGGTTAGATAGCCGCAGCCCGGTAGGTGATTCACCACCTGATGCTGGCCGAGATTCTTGAGGTTGGCGAGCGAGAGAAAGGGATAATCGTGGGCCCACAGGAGGTTCCAGCTCTCGTTGACGCCCACTCGTTGGTAGCCAAACTGGTGCAGCACACTGACCACATGCACCAGGTGCTCCTCCGTGGGACTCCGGCCGAAAATCGCGTATGTGGGCGCTGGCGGGCGCTGATCCTCCAGAGAATTTGTGGATTTCCAGGGGAAAACCTTGTTGGCATGCGGCAGGAGTTCCACCACCACCGCCGTGGTCACCGTGGCGGCCAGAAATATCATGATCGGCAGTAATCCAATGCTAATTGCTGGCTTTTCGGACTCCTCCGTTTTGGCCAACTAAAGACAAAAAAAGAGAAAGTTTTCAGTTGCTCATCGAAGGGAAATCCTCTATTTTTAGACAAACTCACTTTGCACTCCGATTCCCTTGGCTTGGGGGCATTATCCTCCACACTGGCATCCATTTTAAGTCCTAAATTGTTATTTTAAAAGGCTAATACAAGCGACTAACTTAAAACAACCTTTTTCTTAGTCGCGATCTCCACGGCAACCGACCTGAAATTTCCCGTTTGCCATTCAAAGCGAAGCGCCAACGCGCCAGCTGTTTGAAAATTTCCCTTTGATGGCGGGAGTTTGAAAGTGGCATCTCTGGCGGAAGGGTAAGGGAAATTTTTAACGGTTATTTAAACGAATTATAGTTTTAAGTTTTTATATTATTAGTTCTGAGTACACCAAGTAATATCGTATTGACATTTTTCATAGAACCAGCGCATCATCCAAGTGTTTCTTTTAGTAATATTTAAGGTTTCTTCCGTCAAATTAAACTTTTGCAAGTCGAGCTGAAAATAACAATATTAGTATAAGAATTAGGTTTAAATAGGATAACTATCTACGATGGGTTTTGGAACAATTCGCTTCATGGAAACACGATGTAAATGCTCCTGATAAGCGTTCTGCAGAGTCTCTTTCTCCAATTCATTGAGGCACATTAGACATAGGTCACATTCATCCTTTTCACAGGACTGGTCACAGTTGTGCTCAGCACATTGATTTAAGCCAGTGGCCAAATTCTGATCAATTGTAAGCAATGTATTGTTTTCACCATACCTGAAAAAATATCGTACAATATTAATATATTTCAAAATATAAAGTAAGGTTACTTACATAATGCCTGCTGTTGCACTTATTGAACGAATTCCCACCAGATTAAAGGCACTGTACAGTACTTGTTCAAACAAATGGTTAATCTGGTTTCCATACAGATTGGGAGACATGTTGGCCTCCATAAGGTAAACTTTCAGATCCTCATCGATGAATAGATCAAATCGCATGAGTTCGAAAAAGTTGTGTGTGCTAAACGAATGCAAAGCATTCACTATGTCCTTTTCCTTTGCCAAAACAGTTTTACGGATAATCTCCTCGACCTGGGGCCATATCTTGAATGGATCCCTGCCCTGATCGCGAACATAGGCCTCAAACGACATACGACTATTGCCTCCGTAGACAGCGTGATATTTTTCGAGTGCTGCAATTTTCCAAGGATTTAAGAAATCACCAGCGACCACGTACTTGCCCACATTTTCAGCATCGAAAGGATGGTATTCTATGGGACAGAAGCGGAACCTAATGTCGCCAGTATAGATATACACGCGTAATGGGTTAACGGAGGTGATGACCACATAAACTCCTATATCGAACTTGTGATTATCCACCAGGAAAGGTCTTTGGATAAACTCCTGCACAAAGGAATCATTTGACTGGAGATCAATTTCCTTAATTTCTTTAATCTTTATCTGACGGTGTCTGTTGTTCTTCTGAACGAAGAGTGCGTCGGGATGATCATGGGCGTACTCCAAAAACTTATCCCTATCAGCTGGCAGTCGAAATGCTCGCGGTTGAAACGGCAATTGGGAAGTGCTCAGATCCACCTTGTTCGTCAAATATCCGCAGCCCGGAAAATGGTTTACCACTTGAGGTTTTCCCAACTCTTGAAGAGGTAGTTTTAAAAAGGGATAGTCATGGCTCCACAACAGATTCCAACTGTCATTGATTCCCACTCGTTGGTAACCCAGTTTATTGAGCACCTTCACCACGTTCTCCAAATGAATCTCCCTTGAACCCTTTAAGTATAGGGCAAATGTGGGCGTGGCATGCTGCTCGTGATTCCTGACACTCCACCAACATGGAAACACCTTGGCATGGGGCACACATTCTAAAAATATGGCTGTTATCAATGAGGCTGTCACAAATATTAGAATTGACCGCAGTCCTATTGCGACCTTGCTCTTGAACTGTCTAGATCCATTTTCAGTCTCTTCGTTGATTAACTAAAAGATTGATTTTTATTGAAACCCCAAAATAAAAACCGAATTTCATTGAACTCACTATACATTTTGATTTTGCCCTTCTGCGGACTGTTTTATCCACACGTGCCGACATTTCAAACTAGAATGATATTTTTAAATATCATGAAAGCCATAAATTTTTATTAACCTTCAGAATTTCACGTCTTGAGATTCCATCTCTTTGCGGCTTCTTTGGCGCCTATTTGAAAATTCCATCTCCAAAAAAAAGTACGTATCTTGATAGCCATATTATTCTTTTAGGTTTTAATGTTCCTTTGTTGAAATAATAATTCCTATTATTTAATATTAAAAGTATTAGGACTATAGGATTAGTACTATACTTTTCCGAGATCCTTTTACATGATAGAGGCTAAAAAAAGGCCTTCACCATTTAATTACTACATTGGGTTTTCCAAGTGTAATTCTTATTTATTGCTCTTGGTTCATTTTACAAAGCGCAATTTTTATATAACTTACAATACGACAGAATTTCGGAACAGTCCTGCAGAATAATGTTAAACTTCTTATTATATTTTACGCAATAGTTAGACCGAAAGAAGGTGCGCAAGCTATGCTGTTCATTGGGATCAAAGTTCTGAGAATTAAAAAGTAAATTAAAGTGACATTTTAAAATAAATTATTACTTATTTTAATTTATTTTTACTCACATTCTCAAACACAATGGTGGGCACATGGGAGATGTTCAGTTTAAGAGTTTCCCTGCCGTAGGGCTCCAAGATATCGAAGGTCGAACGCGAACTTTTGCATTCCTTGACTTTACTCACATCTAAACGGAATTTCCTGGCACATGGATCCAGTTTATTTTTGAATGAAAATGACATGCACTTGATCATTTCGAAGGCTTCCCGAGGCGTTGAGAACTTGCGATAAGTTCCCTTGGTGCTTTTAATTTGTCGCCTATTTTAAAATGTAATCTCCAATAATAAGAAACTATACAGATTATGATAATCACATTATTAATATTTATTAATTCCATTTATTAGAATATCAGGGACCGAAAATAACAGTTATTTTATTATTTTTAATCAAAAAAATCTTGCACTTCGGATCCCACTAAAAATCAGAGAAAAAAGTCACATAACCAATCTAATGCGGTCTATTCAGATCCGCAATGACCTAAATTTTTGTAACTTTTTTGAAATTGGTCATGAAGTAACTGTTATTTCAGACTTTTAAAATAAAAGTCAGAGAATAACAGTTATTTTTTGACCGAAAAAATAAAAGTCCTCCGTAACTTTTATTCATGACTTTTATAATAAAAGTCTAAAAATAACTGTTATTTTTAGACTGAAAAAATAAAAGTCAAGATAACTCTTACGAAAAGACTTATAGTAAAAAAATCATTAAATAACTTTTATTTGGTGATCGAAAATATATAAGTCTTAAATATCTGTTGCTCAATTGGAATTGGAATTTTAAAGGTTGCAATTTGTACTTATACACATGAATTCTTCAACATAATAAGACCGCGAATTCTTCAGACCTAGAGAAACCATTAATGACCATGGTAACAATTTTTAAAGTTCTGACCAATACAGCCATTCATAAAGTCATAAACATAATAAGACCGCGAATTCTTCAGACCTAGAGGAACCATTAATGACCATTGTAACAATTTTTAAAGTTCTGGCCAATACAGCCATTCATGAATTCTTCAACATAATAAGACCGCGAATTCTTCAGACCTAGAGGAACCATTAATGACCATGGTAACAATTTTTAAAGTTCTGACCAATACAGCCATTCATAAAGTCATAAACATAATAAGACCGCGAATTCTTCAGACCTAGAGAAACCATTAATGACCATGGTAACAATTTTTAAAGTTCTAACCAATACAGCCATTCATGAATTCTTCAACATAATAAGACCGCGAATTCTTCAGACCTAGAGGAACCATTAATGACCATGGTAACAATTTTTAAAGTTCTAACCAATACAGCCATTCATGAATTCTTCAACATAATAAGACCGCGAATTCTTCAGACCTAGAGGAACCATTAATGACCATGGTAACAATTTTTAAAGTTCTAACCAATACAGCCATTCATGATGTCATAAACTCATATAGCGAGCCTTGATAATTACTAGCGCGACATTGAATAATATGCGTATACATAATCGAGTATTCATATGTTATTCAAATATTTTATTGTCAAAGGTTTTGTTGTACATCGTTACATTATTAGTTGAGTTCAACATAAAAGGTTGTCATAAATTTTTACTAAAAATGGGTCGTAAGAAAAACTTAATTCATCGAAATTTTTTTGAATTCGATTCCGTAAAAAACCTGTCGGTATGCAAAATTTGCCACAAAACTTTTTTCGGAAATTTTGTCACGAACTTAAGGCGCCATCTGGAGTCAGTTCATGGAGACAGCGTACCCGACGAAATGGAAAAAAAAAATGATGAAAGCCCCGAAAAAAAAATTAAATTTTCCGTTTGTTTTGCGGCGGAAGACGTAAAGGACGCTTGCGTAGAGCTAGTAACGTCCGAAAAAGTACCATTTTCTCTATTTGACTCGAAGGCATTTCAATTCTTTACGGATCAAATTTTTATGGGCGTGAACATCCCCAAAATTTCTTCGCGAAATATAATAGAGTTGGTATCTCACAAATACGACAGCATTAAAAATAAAATGATTTCGGGCCTGAAAAATCGGATGGTGTCCCTAAAAATTGATGGAGCTACCAGGTTAAATCGAAGTATTCTTGGCGTAAACTTGCAGTACTATAATGGAAGCAAAATTGTAATTCATACTCTTGCAATAATAGAGTTAAATGTGCGATCAACAGCGGAGAATATTAGTGCCACAGTGTCCGACATTTTAAAACAGTTTGCGATTCGTAAAAGCCAAGTTTTCTCAATTACGACTGACAATGGACGCAACATGGTTAAATCAGTGGAGCTGTTGAATACTTGCGAAGATAATGAAGGTGACATTGCTTCCCGGGATGATGAAATGGACATACTTGAAGGAGTTTCAATAGACTCTGTAAAGTCCGTAAAGTGTGCAGCACACACTCTCCAGTTAGCAGTGAAGGACTTCATGGACCAACAATCATGCCAAATAATTGATAATGCCAGGACATTAGTAAAAAAATTAAGAACCCCTTCTTACAGGTAACTAAAAATCAAATTCTTTACATTATTTAAAGATAATTTTTAAATTTGATAATTACAGGAACCTGCTAATGAATGGATCCTTTACGCAACCTCCTATGGACGTGTCAACTAGGTGGAACTCCACATACTCGATGCTGAAACAGCTTCTAAATCTAAGGGAGCTTTGTGAGATGCATGTACCTACCCCATTGGCGAACGAGGACTGGGACTATTTGAAGACCTTGGTAGCAACACTTAAGCCCGCCTACATAGCCACAAAAAAACTGCAAAGCAGCCAGCTATACATGGCAGACTTCAACAAGCTGTGGATTGAACTCAAGCTCAATATTAAACTTATGAAAAATAGTTGCAGCGATCTCTTAGCCGAGTGCCTCGAAAAAAGAGATGAAATTTTGTTAAACAATTCTGTGGTTCTCTGTAGCCTATTCCTTGACCCTAGACTTCGGCGAGTTCTAGGACAGAATGAAGCTAACCGAATATCCGCAGTACGTCATTTAAAGGACCTCATGCAGCAAATATTTGCTGTTAAAAATTTTGTATGTAAACATGAAAAGATTACAAAACGTTGTTAACAAAATTTTACAACTTTTATAGGTAAATTCACCAACCAAAAGTTCATCATCATCATCATCATCATTATCATCGTCATCATCATCATCATTATCATCATCATCATTATCATCATCATCATCATTGCTAAATGAATTTTTAAATTCAATACCTAGCGAATCTAATGAAGAGGATAGTAGTGACGAAGTAGGAGCCAAACTCAGAGAAGCTTATTGGGAAATTGAAAGCTACTACCCTAAGCCAATCGATACCACTATTGACGTAATGGAATATTGGGAGAAGGTTAAATTTAAATTGCCATATTTATATCAACTGGCTAGGGTCGTGCATTCAGTGCCGGCCACACAAGTGAGCGTGGAGCGCTCGTTTTCGGCACTGAAACTAGTTTTAAGCGACTTAAGAAGCAACATAAGCCCTGAGTCGCTTGAAAAAATATTATTTGTAAAACTCAACAACAAATTCAATGAAATATAAATTTTATATTATAAAAATACGTCAAATGCATTTTTAATATTGAACATATTCGGTAGCACTGCGGGGTTCGATTGGTGAAAAAGTTTTACTATGTAAGAGCCTATGGTTTCTCTAGGTCTGAAGATTTCGCGGTCTTATTATGCTTATGACTTTATGAATGGCTGTATTGGTCAGAACTTTAAAAATTGTTACCATGGTCATTAATGGTTCCTCTAGGTCTGAAGAATTCGCGGTCTTATTATGTTGAAGAATTCATGAATGGCTGTATTGGCCAGAACTTTAAAAATTGTTACAATGGTCATTAATGGTTCCTCTAGGTCTGAAGAATTCGCGGTCTTATTATGTTTATGACTTTATGAATGGCTGTATTGGTCAGAACTTTAAAAATTGTTACCATGGTCATTAATGGTTCCTCTAGGTCTGAAGAATTCGCGGTCTTATTATGTTTATGACTTTATGAATGGCTGTATTGGTCAGAACTTTAAAAATTGTTACCATGGTCATTAATGGTTTCTCTAGGTCTGAAGAATTCGCGGTCTTATTATGTTGAAGAATTCATGTGTATAAGTACAAATTGCAACCTTTAAAATTCCAATTCCAATTGAGCAACAGATATTTAAGACTTATATATTTTCGATCACCAAATAAAAGTTATTTAATGATTTTTTTACTATAAGTCTTTTCGTAAGAGTTATCTTGACTTTTATTTTTTCAGTCTAAAAATAACAGTTATTTTTAGACTTTTATTATAAAAGTCATGAATAAAAGTTACGGAGGACTTTTATTTTTTCGGTCAAAAAATAACTGTTATTTTCTGACTTTTATTTTAAAAGTCTGAAATAACAGTTACGTCATGACTTATAAATAAAAGGTGCTGAATAACGATTAATCGATGACTTTTAAAGTAAAACTTATAACTGTTACGGTCCCTGTAGAATATAGATGAGAGCGCGTTTTACAATATTTCAAAATGAATTTGAAATAGTGTCAAAAAAATAAAATAAAACACTTTTTGTTCAGCTACATTTTTCGATTTATTTTTTTGTATTTTTTTTCCGTCGTAGAAATGAACAGGCGTTTTAAGAGCAATGCAGAGGTAAAAAGAATTCAGGCTCTCAAGGCATTGTTCAAGAAAGTTGTTCGCATGGTGAGTCTAAATGATCCGTGGAAGGAAAGCGATGACGATCCAAGGATTTCTTCAAGCGTCATGAGAAGCATATCAAATCGAGTTCGAGCCAAGCGCAAAGCGGGCTTTCTCACTGCAGCGGTATAAAGAAGTTAGAACTAGAAGTTAGATTATGCATTAATTAAATATTTTGTGGCAGGACAAATCTTTAATTCGAACACCGCACGTGGTACGTACAATTCCGGAAAGAATGAAATTGTGTAAGATGTTTGCAAGGTTCAGATGCCTGGCTCGTTTTGCTCCAGTAAGATAAAGACAGATTTAAAGAGTAATATAAAATAACAGATATCCTTTCAGAAACTCCGAGCCCGCTTAGTTCCTGTGGTTCGCTTCATGCCCGTTGATGCAGGCCGCAAAATCATGAGACAATCGGATGTTCCCATAACCGTGTTTTTTGTAATATCAGGAGAAATACATATGTATCGAAACGAAGACAAAAAGGTAATGACCTGAAATTAGTTAGCAAATGGCTATCCTATTGGTTTGTTTTTAAAGGTGGTTCAGGGCGTTTTGGGTCCTGGCGATATGATGGGAGATGTGGAGCTACTGGAAGGCATCAAGCGAACCCACACCTTCAAAGCAGCAAGTAAGTAAAAATCTTTACATTGATTTATTGCGTTTATTTTTATTTTAATGCATGATAGCCGTTATCACTGCAGTACGGTTTAAAAACAATTCCTAAGAATTTACTCTTATCTGAGCTTAACTTTTAATGTTCCTTCTTATATTATGCACATTTTTAAATAAACTTAAAAAAAATACCTCAAAAATAACACAAATCAGTGGACTTTCTTCTGCCAATTTAATCACACTTAAAGATGATAAGAAAATGAATTAGGTAAACTGCAACATTTGCGGCTCATGTCGGAATAAATGGGAAATACATAGCCCTGGCACGCGATATGTACGATTGTGTTTATTGGGAATTTGTTTGGTTTTGTTGCTTCATTTGCGATTGCCTGTACCCACCAATTTAATCAGCAATAAACAACGTTAAGTCCTAATTCGATTCAATCAAAATGAATAACAAAATACCCTCCGTCCCGCGTCCGTCACGAGTTCCCCGTGGTATTCAGTAGTAAAGTAAAGTAAATTCAGTCAAATACTTATATAGGTTGGCCCAAAACAACACCCGCCTTCCTTTGGCGCAGTCATTGGGCCTGATTTTTGGGCTGTTGTGCCTGTTACTCCTCGTGCTGGCAATCTTTTTGAAAAAACAGATGCACGCCACCGAAAAACCAGCTCCATGGATTGGATTCCATGTGCCCGATTCGAGGGAGTCGCCAATTCGCCAGTTCGCCAGTAACTATTGAACGCTTCACTTTGCAGCCTACTGCGAACTGCTGGTGCTATTCGACTATGACTTTGCGCCGATTCTCGGGCCCTACATGACGAAGATTTGGGACGAGAAGAAAAGGGCCCTCAAGGCACTGGACTACTTTGATTTTCTCGACGATGACCAGGCGAGTAGAAACAAGAGAATATTTTTTTTGAGGTCTCTAGCTAAAAATAAAAGTAGTGATGGAAAAACGAGGAAAAGAAACCAATCATTCCCTTTACATATTCAATATTCTTCCATTAGTTTATAAATCTAAACGACAGTCATTTAAAAAAAGCAATATTTAATTTTCATTTTTAGTATTTTACATAAACAATTAAAAGCATCATTCAATATTTAGAATTTAATAACCAGCATTTAACATTCAAAAATCAATCATAAAACACTTAGTTGAAATAATAAGTATTCTTTAAAATATTTTAAATGTAAGTTCGTTTTTATAAAAATATGGTGTAGATCGTGGAAGCCTGCCGATTCGGAAGGCTAAAGCAGTTTGAGCCATTGGATACCATATTCTGCGATGATATAGGGTCAATGACAAATGTCCATTTCGTGGTCAGCGGAGAATGTCTGATACTCCAGTGCCTGAACATAAGGGTTAGCAGATCAGAATATATTATAGATGGTATCTAATTAATATAATTACTCTTGGTTATTTAGGTTAGTCAGAAAAAAAAGAAAAAGTTCTTTGAACTTCTGCCAACGACCGAAGGTGATGTGTCCAGTATGTTCAGACAAGGCGTGAGATCCACCTTTTCTAGCCCAAGTAAATCCGAAAATGTCTCAAAAATAAATCTTCTTGATCTTGTGGATAGTTCCAGTAGCAGTACCAAGGAAAATGGACAGGCTAATACACTTAATCGTACGGTGAGTATACTTAATAGTTATAGGAAATATGTTATTGGGATTTAAAAACCATTGAAAGATTATTGATTTGTTTAATTTTTATAATTTTTAAAGTTTTTGATTTTGTAATATTTTATTTTAACAATTACACAGATTTTGATTTTTTTAAGTTTTATAATTTTTTAAATTTTTTGATTTTGTAATAATTTTTTTACAATTATACAGATGCGTAAAATGCAATTAAAAGATATACAGAAGGCTTGCGGTCTAATTAAATCAATGCATCAGCCCAAACCGCGTTTTACATGGCGCCGTTCTGCTAATCGAAAATCGTCGACTTCTGTATTTACTGAAACCGGAAATGATTTAATCAGTGAAGAAGAGAATGAAGGTTATTGGGAAATTTTTGAGGATGAAAATGAGGTTGAAACAAGTTCGTCTCACTCCGACGATTCGGACTCAGAGGGCAAACAAACTGCTCCTATGTTTAATAGTATTGTAGAAAAAAGTGCTCCCAATGAAAGTGGTGTTAATTCATCGTCACTTTCCAGTTCGACCTCGAGCAGTGAATATTCATCCGTAAGTTTCAGGAAATATTCGTTATGTTCTTAAATATAAAATTATAATATTAATAAAATTATTTACACACCTTGGGTTTCCCATTTCAGGCATCTGTTTTCGAAAGTCATTTCATCGATGTTGGTACCATAACTTTTGGAGGAATTTTCGGCTTGGGCGAAAAAATGGAACACCGAGTGATAATGGCAAGGACCACGGTTCAGTGTCTAACACTTCCAAGATTTTTCCTTCTGGAGAAGAAACAAAATCCAGGAAATATTTGGGAGCGCAGGCTGTTGTACATGGAGTGCATGATTCCATCGAGGGAGGCGCTATTCACTCATTATCTCAAAACTCGAGACTGGAAAAAATTCAAAAATGACTTTATCCGCGAGACTTGGAAGCCAACCGATAATGACAACACACATGCTGACGATATTCCAATCATTTGTAGAATCGTGGAATCATCTGAGGATGTTAACTAACTTGGAAAAATACCGTGGTTTAAGGCCGCTTATACATAGTTTAGTAAAGCCAATGAAATAATTAAAATAAGATATTTTCTTGGTTCAACTAAAATATGTAAAAGCGACCCTGAGGAATTAAAATCTGTACTCTGTATTCTGTTACTAAATCAAACAATACAATATATATTGGTTTCCATTGGATTATAAATTCTGCGTCACCTTTTCGTTATTAACGTCATTATTGTTCTGTTACTTGTTAACATATATATATAGAATCCAAGAATAAACCCCAAAGTTATTATTATAATCCCGTGAACTATGTTAATTCAACAAGTGGAGGCGACGTCAGCTGGTGATATGTTTTGGCACCAAAGGTGTTGACATGGCAACTCCTAACTGCCGAGGTTTCCAGGCACATTCGGACACCTTCCTTGGTCAGTATTGATTCAACATTTTCCGATGCATGGTGCTTGAAATACTAAAATGACAACGGCTGCCAGTTTACCAAGGGTTCCCGAGGGTTTGCGGGACCTAATGAAGGTCTACACCAAGGAGGTGTTACGTGAAAAGCCGGCCGACTTGTATGGATTTTCGGCCAATTTTTTCAACGTGATTGTTGGTGAAAAATCACAGAAAATGGTGCGAAAATACGAGCCGGTGCAAACTTATGAAACCATCATGAAAAACCGAGTTCGCCAGCAGGTTCCCCTCTCGCTGGTGTTCAATATAATCCCAGAAACACTGACCGATCTAATAAAGCAATTTATAAAGGCGGTTCTAAGGGAGAAACCCGAAAATATTTACATATTCGCACAGGAGTACTTTCAAAGGATGTCCAAGGAAAAGGAAAAGTCGGGACGAATTGAGTACACCAAATATTCGACGTACGAAAAGTCATTGAAGGACAAAGAAAACGTAACTCCCGGATCGAAGGTAACCTGCGAATGTGGACGAATACTGAGTGGGAAAGCCAAGGATGTGGAAAACAGATACACAGATACCAAATTAGCTGAGGCTGACCAGAGAACATTTTCCAGCAGAATTACCTATTTGCAATCAGTTGTCATAATTCAAAGACAAATTCGCCGATTTCTCAAGGAACGGAAAATAGTTCGCGATAAGGACAAATGCAATAGCGTGGAATATGTGGCAGCAATTCTGCTGATTCAACGCCAAGTGCGTCGCTTTTTGGCCAAGAAGCGAGTGGAGAAACTTAAAAATTCACGTGACGTCCGAGAAGCGAAGGGTAAATTTAACACCGGCGACTACATGAAAGCCGTTGTCGTCATTCAGCGGCATTATCGCATATATTTGAAAAAGAAGCAGGAGCGTAATCGATTGAAAAGCGACCCAGTATCCTTAGCAACAGCCGCCATCATAATCCAGAGGGCCTTCAGAAGGATGGTGGCCCGACATAGGGCCAAAAGGAATGCTTCCTCAGCCGCCGATCAAGCCGAGGAACTCAACGACAATGCCTCCGAGACTGGGTCCTATACATCCGTCTCCACTGCCCTCCTTTCCACGGAATCCACTGAGCTGGGAATGGCCACTTACGAGGAACGAGTCCATCAGAAAATAATTCACGAGGACGAGGAAGTGGAGAACAAAAACGTTGATGCCGGCCTTGAGAAGGAGTATTCAGCGGAAACCATTAAAGGCCAAGAAAAATCGATGAATCTACGGAAAAGCGGTAATTAACTATGCTAATTCTTTTCCATCAAACGATTTAATCGTAACGTGTTCATACTTTTTCAGAAATTCTTAGCGGTGCTTTAATCGAAAACATGATTCGCAAACCAAGCTTGGAAAATATTAAGGATTTTCACAACGAATCAAAAGATTTGGGTGAAGAAATGGATATCGAAGTGGATGAAAAAAAAACTAGTCAAGATCTTGAACCTGAAATTAAAAGTAACAAATCAAGCCTAGAACTTGAAACTGTAGCTAAAGCCGAACTAAAAACTAAAAAGGACAATGAAGAACTGGAGTCGGAATTTTCGACCAAAAATGCCAGCTTGGATGTAGAATCAAGTACCCAAGATGAGCCCAAAACAGAACACACTTCAGAAGATATAGAACCCAAAAATGATGATAAAGTAAAAACAGAAAACTTTGGCACAAAATCAATTAAAGAAGAAAATGGTGACAGTGAATTTCAAAATATTATTGAGAAAAGAGAAAGTGATGATGGGAAGGAACATGATGAGGATGTGCAAAATGACGAAAAAGAAGACGCTAACATTTTAGACAATGACAAAATTATAAAATCTAAAAACGAATTAACAGAAACATCAATTAAAAAAGAAGTTACTCCAATGGTTTCGATAGAAATTGAGCATGTAGACGATCTTTTAGAAGATTCTATACCAACTCACCACGATTCTAATGGTAAGAAACTTTTATCGAAATATAAACAATATTTTTTACATTTATTTTCAATAGATGATTCAGCTAAGGATTCAACGAATGGCGACTCAACGGCTCAAGAATCTAAATATATGAGCAACGTAGAAATATATAGTTTGACAACGGTTTTAGTCAATCATAATCGAGAAATTCGTGAGCAAGGTACTATAAGAAAATATAAATTTTGTGCATAATTGAATAATTTAATTTTTATAGAGTCTCCTGTTGAACCTTTGGACGATAAAAATTTGGAAATATCTGCTGACACTCTAGTGCAAACTCAAACTGAAGAAAACCACTCATCAGTTGAAGATGAAAATGAAACAACTCCAAAGAGTAGAGAAAAAAGAAGCATAGAAGATAAAGAGATGGTTCAATCAAATTTGGAGAACCAGGAATCATTGATCACAGAAGATATCAGTCTCACTAACGAAAGTAATGCAAACTTAAAACCAATTAATCATGATGAAATTCAAAAAGGGAATGAACAAAAATTGAAAGTAGATGGATCACTGGACACTATACCAGCAATGGAAGATATTTCTAAAACCCAGTCGGATACAAAAGGTGAAATAAGGTCGACAAGCTCAGAAGAGAAAATTATAAAGGAAGCATCAATTCCAGAAATCACTTCGGATAAGGATCCCAAAATAGGTAAAGTACAAAGAATAAAATTATAAGTTTTAGTTCCAAAAATAACGTTAATAATAATTCTTTATTTTAGAAGATCCCATCACTGAGGACAAAGAAATGATAAAGACATCTATTAGTGTAACCAAAGATGAACCGCTAGATCCTAATATTACAAATATTGCAGAGAAATCTGATTTGCCAAGTAAGAATTAAATCTGTAAACGTTTTCTCAGCTACTAACCAATTAAATGCTTATAGAGCTTCAGATGAAAAGTGAATCAATTGATGACCTAGAACTAAATAAAAGAGACAGCGAACTAATAATTCATGCCGGAACTGATCCTTTGAAAGAAAATGGTGAAAACAGTATGGAAATATTGCACCATGCAAATGGTAAGTAAATTAATGTGTTTTATTAAAGTGAACTACATGTTTCTATCTTAATCTAGAAAAAGTCCCAACTGATGATGCAACAGAAGAAACAGATAGTATCCTGAAACTATTACAACAAGACACCATACCAATAAGATCTGAAAGTTTAATGACTGAAGAAATGGTCCCATCTGAAGGCGAAGTGCCCAATGATGACTCCCATAATTTTGATGTCTTTACTGAAGGCATTGATTTAAAAAACAAGAAAAATGTATCCAGCCCTTCAAATTCAAAGGAATTTAGTGGTGAGCAAACAAATATATAAATACTCCTGTAAGGCCAATAATGTAATTTTAAACATTTTTTAGATGAGCAGCCTATTAAAGATATAAATGACAGTATGGGAGAGAGTATAGTACAAGAACGTAAGTAATTCCTTTAGCAATAACATTTCAGTGGGTAATTTACAAATTTCAGAACATCTTTTAGTGGAAGATCCATCGGGCACATCAGTGGAACGCGAATTTGAAGGTATGAATCAATATGAAGGGCATTGAGATAGAGGAGGATATTCTATTTCCGAAATGATAATTAACATTACTGATTTTTTTTAATTTTGAAGGAGTTGATGCCCAAAGTGATACAAAGGAAGAGAATAAGACCAACGCAACTGAGCTCCAACAGAATATAGAAACTAGTATAGAAGACGCTGTCACTGATGGTAAATAGTCCTGTTTATTTCTTAAAAAATACTTGATAACGATTTTTTTTAAATCCAGGTAAGGTGTCAACCGAGAAACTAGAAAGTTCACGAGTGAAAGGCCAACATTCCGATAAAGAAACTTTACCAATAAATTCCGAACCAGAGAATGATATAAATTTGAAATCAGAAAATTCACCGGTCAAATTTGATAAAATATCATCTGAAGAATCAGAAAGTTTACATGCTAAAGAGCAACAATCCGAAAATGAAACTTTACCAATCAACTCCCAGACGAGGAAAGATGTAGATCCTAATTTAGAGAACGAAGCTGACGAATTAGATCAAATATTAACTAAAGAACCAAAAAGTTCAAGCGCTGAAGTCGAACAATCCAATAATGAAACTTTACCAATCAACTCTGTACCAAAAACGGATATAAATCCTAGTTTAGAGGTTGAATCTGCCAAATTAGATAAAATTTTAACTGAAGAATCAGAAATATTACGAGCTGAAGACCAACAATCTGAAAATGATATTTTACCAATCAACTCTGAACCAAAGAAAGATGAAACTCTTAATTTAGAGGACGAAGCTGTAGAACTAGTTAAAATATTAACTGAAAAACCAGAAAGTTCACAAGCTGATAACCAACAATCGGAAAATAAAACTTTCCCTATCGACTCAGAGCCTGAGCACGCTAAAGAAATGAATACTGCAGGTAAAACTGAAATATCAACTAACGAATCGGAAAGATCCCGAAATGTAACTGAACAATGGGATGAAGAAGGTTTTCCAATCAAACCTGAATCTGTGCAAGTTGAAGATGGAAAATTGCCTAATGAATCTTCAGAAGCAAATGGTGTCCGTCCCGAGGACTCAGAAGGTATTTTCCTATACAACCTTCTTAGCATTCTAGGTTGATCTTATTTACTAATCTCGTTTTAGTCCGAGTATTACACACAAACGACAAAACTCAAAATTCTCTTGATGAAACAACTGTTGGCACGGGTAAGTGATTTAAATATGTTAAGATTTACATAGTAATTAATTTAAATTATTTAATAGAAAAAATATTGCCGACCTCACTAGAAAAGAGCTCATCAAGTGCATTAGGAGAAACTTCAAAAAGTGAGAAGGAGCTTCTTGAATATCCAACAAATAGTAACAGTAAAGAAATATCTATGGGAGACACTGCCATTGCAGTTAGTGAGTATTTATTTATTTACACATTACTGAGGATTGATTTTTAACAACTATTGTCATTAAAGTGGAATCGTCTGCTGAAAGTAAGAACGAATCCATAACTGCCCAAACAAATAAAGAAGAATCGAAAGACATACTAACTGAAGATAGTTCTGGCGAGGAATCTACAGTACCACCTACTGCTGAACCTGATAAAGACAGTAATTTTCCATTACGCATTATTCTTCTCGTCATTAATTTAAATTAATTTAATCGTTTCATTAAAGATTATGATTCTGAATCCATAACTAAGACCGCTACGAGCAAAAGTACAGAAGTTGAAAGTGAAGAAAGTGTGGATCATACAAGTAAGAAGTTCAACCTTAGTTAATTTTTAGTTTCTCAATAAAGGCAAACTTCTCCCCTAGAACTGGAATCTGATTTGGAGAAAGATATTAAGGACGAAGGACACACAGGAGCCCATCTTGAAAGAGATTCTTCTGAACATCCAACTAAAACTAGTGCAACTGATACTTTACACCTAGAGCAAAAAGAAGACTCTACAGATTTTGGAAGCACATCTGCCGTAGTCGAGGATAAGGACAGTAAGTTTACAGATAATAGTATTGTTTGGTTTTCAATAATATCCACAACACAGATGCAGAATCAACACCCAAAAGCGACTCACCGGTTCCTTTAAATACCGAAGTAATTACTGGTAAGAAATCAGAATTGAAAACTTTTTAAATTTGTTTTTAAATTAGCAGAAAAACTCTTCATTGCTTGTATCTAATCAATTAATTGGCACCCAAAATTTACCTACTAACCATATTGAGATTGAAAAGAACACCAAGAAGTTATCTAACCCCATTGTAAAAGATAAAGATATTGGCACCTTAACGTCGGGGCGTCTCGTACCCACACCCATTGCTGAGTTGCAGCTCAAGTCATTCAAAACTCCCAACGACGATGGCGCCTGGTATGATATTTATGTGGAGCCCAAGGTGGCTTCTGATAAAGATTTGGAATCCATTCCAACATCAGTTCAATCCAAGAAATCTGACACGGACGAACAAACAGCTGAAGTTGTAGAGGAACCCATTATTATCGCAGAAAGAGTTCCAAGTTACTATACTCCCAAGGAAATCATAGAACCCACAATACCGAAAGCTAAGAACTCTGTTTCATTTTTTGTTTCCTTTGATTCCGATGATGGAAACCCCAAATACAAAATTCCAAAAAAGTTTAGAGATCAATCAAAAACAGATAATAATAAAAAGGCGGTAAATAACGAAGATATCCCATCCGAATCGGATGTTGATTCCAACGAAGAGGAAATTGAGGTTATTGAAGTTTCTGAGGGCGATCCAGAGTACCAGCAGACCGGTGGCTCCAAATTACAAACCATATTGGAACTGGATAATGAAAGTGAGCAGCCCACTGAATTCAGTAATCAAAGAACGGCTTTGGAACTAAATGGACCTGTCGATACAGTCGAAGATAATCGAGAAGAAACAAAGTCAACAAAAAGTAATAGTGAGAAATTTGAAGCAGCCTATAAAACCGACATATTAACTATTACAAGATCTGTGCTCATCATAGAAAGAGCATACCGACAATTCATGAGTAGACATTCCTTAAAAAGTGAAACGAACAAAGAATCGAATTTTACAAAGCAAAATCAGGCAGCTAAAATAATACAAAAGTGGCTTAGGAACTCTCTAAGGATAAAGTCTATAAAAGTTTCCTCAGATATCTCCCAAAAATCTAAAGAAAGTAGTGCTGCTAAGAAAATTCAAAGGGCCTATCGAAAATATGTTGAAAAATCTAAGGAAATAAAATCTGCAAATGGACTTCTGCCGCAAGAAAGAACTAAAGAAGAAAAAATGGCTGCACTTGTTATACAAAAGGCATTTAGGGAATATTCTCAGAGAAAATATGATAATTTAAATAAAATACAATCATCAGATGATACAGAACTTGAGCAAAATAAAGCTGCTCAAAAAATTCAAAGGGCTTACAGAAGGTATCTTAAATTATCCGATAAGTCCGAGCCACAAGAAGTTGAAAATCCAGTGCAAGGAAACTCTAGTCTAACTTATTCGTCAAAGCTAACCGATAAACCAGAAGAAATTGATGATTTAATGACTAAAGAACTAAAGGCCTTGACCCAAAGTTCGATCTCAATTGATACTCTGAAATCAACCATTAACCCAGAAATTTTAAATGATCTAAAGACAGATGAACTTCAAAATGCTGAGCCAGTTGAGGAAACCGTTTCAAACCCAATTCAAATTTCAATCCTAGCTGATGAACCAAAAAGAATAAAAGAGTTAAAATCGGATGAGTTTCAAGAATTGGAGAATCTTTCGAAGGTCAGTTCGAGTCCAATTCATTTGTCAAAATCTTTAGATGAATCAGAAAATATTACTAAAAAGCTGTCTGAAGAGAAAAAGGAAACTCCTGTGGAAGCTATTTCAAAACAAATTCTTACATCGAAATCAGCTGATGAGCTTGAAATGATAAACGATGTAGAGAAAGGTGGGGAAGCAAATACAACTTCGGTTCAGGATAAGACCGAAATAATTGAACATAAAGATGAACTTATTACAAATCATCCATTAAAGGATCAACTTGAAAGAAAGTTTAGTGCTGCTCTAATAATACAAAGAGCTTTCAGACAATATATGGAAAGAAAAAAGCTTGAAAATTTTGATGAGAGCTCCTTAGACTCCATTACCAGCTCACGAATAACGGCCATAGAAACCTCCAATTATCCAACTGCAGGCACCACACCATCAGAAAGTTTGGTTCCAGAAGCCGCCGAAGATCCAGGCGAAGATGCGTCGAAGATCCAACCAAAGTCCGAATGGTTTGTGGGGTCAACTCGTATAATACCAAGCCAGGAAGTCGTTGAGAAACCTCTTGGGGTGGCAACCGATCCGGATCCAGATGCAATCACAAGTAAAACTGAGCTCGACACCAGCACGCAAGTAGAATCAGTTGAAACAGTAGATAGAACGCATGGCTCGCTTGAATCCAAATTAACTCCTGGTATTAGCAGTTCCAAAATCGATGAGAGTCTAGGCGTACAATCTGAAAAGGATAATGCAGTCTCTTCTGGTTTAGCAGGTTTAACAGAGGCAGCTGAAGAAGGGCTTGATTCGGTGGAGGATCCACTACTTCTATCACAATCCGATTTTGGTGGAATCGTTCAGTGTAAGTTTGTAATAGGATCTTTTCTGTAATTAAATTGAACGTAACCTTTAAATTTTGTCAGCTTTAGATATTGTTTCAACTCAAGAACTGGTTAATAATTTCCTGGAGAATGAGATTGAGTATTCATCCAAGCAAGGTCCATTTCCCAGTGCTAGCCTTCTTGAAGAAGTTGTAGAGGAACCTTGTATAAAGAAGTCTGCTTCACTGGTGAATCTTTCCGAAGGCGAATCAGAACCCGATGTTGCTAGTCAAAAAGCTGAAAACACGGATTCTTCAGTATCCGAAACCATTGGTTTGGATACGCTATCCGCAGATACCATAGACAAGGCCACCGTCAAATTGTCCAAGCCAGAGGAAGTGATTGAGAAAATGTCTCAGTTCCGGGACTCCAAGTCCCACGAGAGACTTCCTTCGGCAGATCCCAGCTTTGATGAGCCCGTGGTGCGTCCCATGAGTTTACTGCAGGAGCAATCTAGCATGGACATCGAGGATGGAGATATTATCGTTTACAATCGACTGCAGAGGGACGAGACCCGGGAGAGCTCAGCTCAAAGTGATTCCGTGGTCTTTGGTGAGGCAGAATCGGAAAACATTCAGGACAAAGACTTGCTCAACGAAGAAGAATCCGGAAGAGTCCATTTAATAAGGCACTACACCATCGCCGGTGATGATCCGCGGGGTCTTTTCAGATCCGTGACCATTGATGATGCCCTGAATTACGGAGAAATGGGAAAAAACAACCAGGGCATTAACAACACGAATAGTTTCTGTTTGGACGACGAAACTTCGGAGAACATTCGCAAGAAGATGATGGCCTACTCGCTGTCTGAAACGGATTCCGACTACTTTGATCCGAGGAAGAGCAGCAAGGAGGACTTTGACATAGACACGGCCATGGCAGACGCCATGGGCACATCCACCGAAACGGAATCCACCATTGTTTCGGCCGCCACCAAGATTCAGGCGGGAGCTCGGGGATTCCTCACCAGGCGACGGTTGCGCCGAGCAAGTGCCGGAACAAAGTCATCCACCCTGGACACCAAGGCGTCCTTCGGCAACGATGCGATCAGCGAGTCCCTGGAGCGTTTCATCGAGGAGGAAGCGGCCAAGAAGATACAGGCTGCCTACCGGATGCACACTCGAAAGCGCAGGAGTCACAACCGGAAAATGGAAGGCATTAGCTTAGAGAGCAATCTGGCCGCCAGGCGTCAAAAGTTGCAGCGCGGGGATGCACTTCGGAATGATTCCACACCCGATGATGAAAACAGTGTGATCAGCAGTGAGGGAAAGGCTCAGAAAAGCTCAAAGCCACAGAAAAAGAAAACAGTTGGTAAGTCAGATTTAAAAATGCAATAATATTTAAGATCATATTTTTAAGAAATTATATTTATCCATTTTTTAGACCCCTTGAAAGAGATTCGTTTGGCATTGCCAAATATAATCTATTGTAATTTTTTGCTGTTACTATAAATTTTTTTTATTTTCTCCAAATTTGTAATCTATTTTGGTTTAATCACAACACTAACTTATTATTAGAAGTCAAAGATTAATTTATTTCTAGGTGAGACAAAGTCAAAGGCCGACATGGAATTAAAGTGGCTGAAGATGAGGCAGAACTCAATGCCCGTGCAAATTGATTGCGAGGTATTCAGAGTTATACCCAAGCATATGCGAAAACGTATAAAAAGCGCCGAGGCGAACAAAAGAAAATAAATGAAAATGCACGAGTCTATAAGTATCAACGCTGAACTATATCTAAATAAAATATATACTTAATCGACAATGTTTTTGTTATCAAACAAGCGGAAAGGAAAGGCTTCCGGGAGTAAATCATAACATTTATTTTCCCCCATTTAAACGTATTTAATTTAAACAGACTGTGGATGAGCGGATGGCTGCCACTTTTGTTCTAAACATTAAACGGATCGGACAGATTTATGAGATGGGTGTGCACCTTGGGTCGTTGTACGGAATTTAATGAATACTGTCGCTAGACAGGTATTATTTTAAAATTGTATAGATCAGTGCTCTCAAAAAAAGAAGAAAGCATTACATGTAGTATTTAATTTTCTTTTTGGTTGTAATTGGAAAATTCCCATCCTGTGTGTAAGTACAAGTTGTATATGTTCGATAGATGAAATGTTTATTCACTGTACTCGTAGCATATACATACAGCACGGCTAACCAAAAATAGGCCTACAGAAAACACAAACAAATTTATATCGTTAATGGATAATGTTGTCTTTCAAGATTGCGGTTTCTTGAGTAAGAGTATTTTATTCTTCTGGAAGCTATAAGTTAATATTAAACTATTTACACGACACGTATTGAACTAAACGGTAGGTTTTGAATACACATATTTGTATGTACAGTAGAAATCATAGATGTGGAACAACGCCCAAAAAACCATTACACAATGGGCTCGCATTGTTTTAGCTCCTTGCGTGTTTTGAATCCCCGAAAGCCAGCCTGAATTTTCACGGCCGCATCGGTGGCGATTTTCTGCTTCTTTCGCACCAGGAATCCCCGGAATCCCGCCTGTATTTTGGTGGCACAGCGATCCTCCACGGATTTTCCTCCATTTTCGGAAGTCGCCTCCTGATCGACGGTGCGGGGTTTTCCCGAATTCGCCTGGTTTTCCATGAGTGCGTTGTTTTTCGGACGCTGTCGCTGGTTCCTCCTGGAATTGTTGGTCGATAGGCGAGGATTGGCGGACTTGCTGGATCGGTGGATTTCCTTGCGCACTCGATAGCCACGGAATCCGGCCTGAATCTTGATGGCCGCACTTTCTTCGGACTGCAGGGACGATGCTGATTCCGGGGAGCTCGGGTAAATGTACATGATCCTCTGCTGCACTGCGACGAAAAATGGGTTTTCCTTGGGGGCAATCTGAGTCCGCGTTGCGTTACTTCCCAAAAAATACGGCTTTCATCGGTTGTATCTCTCTGTGTTCCGGCCGAACTCGCTCGCTCGAGATCTAAAATTGTACTGACGTACTGCAGACGCGGGCTTGGCATATGTACGGCGAGAATTTTCATTTCATTTTCATTCACAAAACAAAGGCCCCACTCAGCGATTTCGCTCTCCCACCACCCCCTCTAATATATCTTACATGGGCCTTTTGTATCTACACCTCTGGGGGACTGATTCTCTCCCGCGAGAATTGGGAAGGAATCCACGGATGCTGATGACGTTAAAGAATTTTTGTTTCACAAAATATACACGCGCGTTGGAAACAATTATCTAATTTCCTCAGCGCTCCCAATTATGTGCAACCCAATTAACAGACAAATAATAATGGTGATCGGTTGCGCAATCTCTACTTGATTTGTCCTTTAATATTTCAAAATATATATATTCGAAATTGGAATCGTGCTCAGGTCGTGTTGAAAATGAAATCATCACGCAGTAATCACTGTTTTGGAAAACATCACGATTGTTTACATTAGTTGAGTCTACGTAGCGGGTGGCGAAATAAAATAGAGTCAATTGGTTTAGCTGAAAGGCGGACTCATAGATACACACAGATCCATAGCCATGTATCGTGTGCAGTGAAAAGAACACCGGGTGCATCGCTTTGTTAATGGAAACGATGAACAGACACACAGAGGCAGAGGTAATTGAAAAATATGAACACACATGTGCATCAATATCGGAATATGAATTTCAATTAAACTCTTATTGTTTGATGTTTGAATTATCTTGACCCTGGGTCGATGCAAAGTTCAAAGTACCACAATGTTATTAAATTGAGCGACCGGTGGATACATATGTGTTCAAATGGCTACCAGACTTGAATGGAAATTCTCGTCGCAAAATAAATTATAGGTATTTATTTATATAGCTGCTTGTTTTTCATCGATATTGAGTCTATGATATTCTGGAATTTTTCGAAAACGTCTAGAGAAACATGTTTCCAATTCTCACTCAATAAATTTTAGAGCATCTTGACGTCATTCGGACCTTAAAACGCAGCAAAGTGGCGTCATAAGACAAAAATTTATTCGAAATAAATATTATGGTTACGTCTCTCAAAATAATACAGTCATTCCACAGATATATATATTTTGTGGTAAACAAGATTGTAAAGATTTCCTTCCGGAAATTCATAAATTTGAAATGCTTGAATTCGCCATTGTATTTAAATGGCCAGAAGCCTACGTAACACGCTTACGTATTTTTGAAAATTCGTGCACATATTGAGTACATTTTTCAGCTTTCGAATGTCTGTATGTAAGTACATGGATGTGCATGCGCAAATATACTAATTGAGTTTTGTATAAAAGGAAGTAATAAACGTTCTTAAACAGAGGAAAAAATATTTTTAAAAAATTGGCAAACGGCCAAGGTAATATGATTGGTTTTTGTGATTTGTCCGAATGACGTAGGCAAAGACAGCAGAAAGTAGAGCGAAATTGTCGGTTTGCGCCGAAATTTGGAGGCCGACCAAAGGGTCTATGTGTTTCTGTTCAAGCATCATCAACAAACAAAATTAAGATCTTGCTTACAATCCCATTTTTTAAATGTAAACAATCATGGATATTTATGTAACAAATAGTCTGCCGGCTCGACTGACTTGTGCACTCGAAATACCTAGGGTTTCCTAATTCAAATAGAAAATTAAGAGTAAAATTCTTATGGCTGGAAAAGATTAAACCAGAAAATTTTGCCTACGAAGTTTATGCCTGAATTCTATCTTATTTGGGTTTTAAAATATTGTATAAAATATCTTATTGTTTGAGAGCTGCAAAGATAAGTAGGGAAATTTCTGAAGATGTAAGATTGTTTATTGGTCTCACGTGTGAAAAGAATGTATGGTTTCCTTAATATTATAAATGGGAATACAATTAATATGACGAACGATTGATGAAACATTCAACGATAGGTAAATAATTATGTGAATAACAGGTTTTTAGCAAATACGATACAGCATCTTACGTTGCATCCTGTGCTGAAGTTCTCCGCGACGAATCATAGTATGAATAACTTTCATAACGGTGCGTTCCTCATACTTCTGACGTAAAAAGTCCTGAAAAAAAATATTAGAAAATAAATTTAAATAATGGCTCTTCACAAATAAATTAAAAAGAATTACCTGCAGAATATTCTGCTCCGAGACTTGAGATCCAATGGCGAAGCGGCGCTTCAATTGCTTCTCGATGCGGTTCAGCGTCTCCTGGTCCTCCTCGGTGGTGAATCCCTCGGCGCCGGCCAAGCTGCCGGTCATGGCAGCATCGAGCGTTGAAACTTGAAAGAGGCGGAGCGCCTCGTTCACGTGCTCATCGGAGACGAAGGGCTGCAAGCGAATCTTGGCCAGCGACTCCGATATGCGGATGACGGCCTCCAGCTGACGCACGGTGATGGGAATGCTCATTCTCTTGTCGGAGGCCTTTTCCTGCTGACCCGCCCCACTGCGCATTAGGACGTAGCGGCTCTTCAGCTTCTCGCCGGCAGCCTCGCTCAGTCGCGGACCGCAGTGGGTGCGGCAGAAGTGGATGTACTTCTTGAACGTCGACAGCGATATCTCACCCTCTGCCGGCTCCGAAGGCGCCGACTTGTTTGAGCTCAGATGCACGTTAATGATGTGCTTGGCCAGCGTAATGTCCCGCGACTCATCGTGAATGTCCTTCACTATGAATATCATGTCGAAACGCGAAAGGATTGTGGGCATAAAGTCGATGTTATCCTCGCCCTTGGTGTCGTCCCATCGGCCGAAAATGGAGTTGGCAGCGGCCAAAACAGAGCAGCGTGAGTTCAGGGTGGTCGTGATGCCGGCCTTGGCAATGGATATGGTCTGCTGCTCCATGGCCTCGTGAATGGCCACTCGATCGTCCTCTCGCATCTTGTCGAACTCATCGATACAGACCACGCCGCCATCTGCCAGGACCATGGCGCCGCCCTCCATGACAAAGTTGCGCTGGGAGATAAATTAGGAGTCAGTAAATAGGATAAACTCAGAGCTGTGCCCAATGAAATGCTTTTGTAATGAATTGGTAATTTTATAAGCACTAAAAAAAGTAATGCTAATGTGAAATCGGGTTTCATTATAATTCAGAAAAGTAATGCCAGTGAAATTTCAATTCATTATTTTAAAGGCTGTATTGTAAAATTATAAAGGCTGTATTAAAAAAGTAATGCCAATGGAATATCATTGCAATATTTTTCAAAAAAATACTGCCAACGAAAAAATATTTAATTACATTTGAAAAATTCAATTTTAATGCTTATTTTTTAGTAAAAATAATAATGGTAATTGCACATTTTCTAAATAGAAATAGAAAATGTCAGCCCTTCTTAAATGAATTTAGCTTTGTGACTTCTTAAATTAATTAATCTTCAAATTTAATTTTTTTTATTGGGCCTTTTTAAGAATTCCTATATAATCACAATTTTTATAGCAAATCCTCTTCTGAAGAATTCGCTGTTTTTCGATATCCACCTTAAAAGTTCCCAATAAAAATAAACCATAAACTAAAGCAACATCTTTCTTACCGTCTGGGGATCCTTCATAACCGAAGCCGTGAGACCAGCGGCACTGGAGCCCTTGCCGGAAGTATACACTGCGATGGGCGCCACCTTCTCCACGAACTTCAGCAGCTGCGACTTGGCCGTACCAGGATCGCCGAGCAGCAAGACGTTTATGTCGCCACGACGGCACAGCCCATCGGGCAAACGTTTACGGGATCCGCCGAAAAGCATGCAGGTAATGGCCTTCTTTATGTCCTTCGAACCGAAGATGCTGGGCGCCAGCGACTGTGAGAGACGTTCGTAGATGTCCCCGGAGGCGGCCATGCGGCGGAAGTTCTCCTCCTCGTCGCTGGTTATGTTGCTATAGCGGGAAATGGCACCCGCGCCCTCTGCGTCCACGGTGATGCCCACCACCCTCATGTAGGGAGCACGCACACCAACGACTGCCTTCTCGCGACCATCCTGGCGAGAGGGTTTGCCCACCTTGCGGATGGAGTAGATGCCCTGGATGAGCACCCGATTGCCGGGCACCACGCGTTCGCAGAGCGAGCGATCGCAGAAGAGCTGCAGGTGGCGGGGAATCTCACCCTGGGGCACATAGTCGGGCAGTTCCTGGAGCTTGAGGGTCTGGAAGTCGACGCACTTGCACTTGTCCGGCATGATGAAGAAGGGATCCAGCGGGCACTTGGGCCTGCCCGCCTGCTCCGTGTTGCACTTCCTGGGCAGGGCGTAGCCCTCCAGACCGGGATTCACCTTGAGATTCGGAATGACCGTGCTGCACGACTGGCACATGATGGACATTCGCGTGGCCTTGGCACTTATGCCCGAGGCTGCGACAATAATGCCGGCGATCTTGACCAGCTTGGAGACACAGTCGGACTTTAGCTGCCGGATGTTGGTGGGATTCGCATTGGAACTGAGCAGGATCTGGATGTCGTGCATCTGCTCCTCGTGCTCCGGCCGGGGAGCCGTGATCTCGTCGGCCACCTCCCGGGCGGCCTCCTCGAAGATCTGCAAGTGCTCCGTCGGCTGTTTGTTCAGCTTGTCGGCCAGAGCCTCATCGAAGCCCACCAGGTCCTCCATCTCGATCTCCAGGAAGTAGCGGCCATTCAGGTAGTTCCGCTTCAGAGTGTCGCTGCAGGAAGATTGGGTTTAAAGGGGCTTGGAGGAGGAATTGCCATCCACTCACCGGTATTTGTAGAAAAAGTTCTCCTCGTTGAAAGTGCGGATGAACTCCTTGTACTTCTTCTTCACCGCCTGCAAGTTGATTTGCGCGTCCGGCTGGTTTTCCCCGCCGAAATTATCCGAGAAGAACACACCGGCATCGTCAAAGCCTTCCATTTTTATTGGTAATCAGAGTTAAAACGAGATACTTTGGTAAATAAATGCTACTTTCTGCACCGCTTGTTTTGGCTTTCTGTTTGGTAAATGCGATGTGCCAATATTTTGCCGCCAAAATTGCCGGGCAAGCGATGGTTAGAGATGGGAAAAGAATCAGGAACTATCGATTGTTCCTTGCAGTTATCGATGTTTTTTAAGTTTCAAGTTGCAAATTTAATTATTTCTGATAATTGAATATTTATATTTGTAATGGATTCTATTAAAAAATCTTTACTAATAAAAATCAATTACAAATTTTAAAATTAATGGGTATTAGAAAGAAAAATTTTAAGACTTTCTAAAAATTTTTATAAAATATTTGTTTCAGAAATTTAAATGTGTCTGGATAATTTAGTTAATCTAATCGGTTTTTTGTGTTATGTACATTTTTGGGATATAACGTACAAAAGTGAATACCCCGAAAATTATAAAAATAAATGTTTTACCCTTCTCGCCATTACAAACCAATCTCCCGTAACTGCGACTTCTTCCCTTATAAAACCAGCTTGAAAAAAATACCAAACTCAAAAATTCGCACGCGGCCAACCGATAGTATCGAACATCGATTTTCGCACCGGCTCCAATCGGCGGCAGTGTTGCAAAGCAACTTTTTAAACTAGCGTGCTATAGAAATAGTCCCATCATTTGGTCGCTATTCTCGACGTGAAAAAACCAAAGAGACGCCGACAAATTAGAAAATGGTGAGTTTGGGGCATATTGCGCTGCCAATTGAGGGCCCAATGGCTGACTGATCGATTTCGCAGGCCAGCACAGACATCCCGATGGAGGCAGCTGTGGAATCGGCGACCGGCATCACGCCCAATTCAAATGCGAACTCAAACAATGTGGCCAAGAAGCTGCCCGCGGAGGGAGCCGCTGCGTCCGGGGACAATCCCAATGCCAATGCCGACGAGATGACGTCCCGCGACTATTACTTTGACTCCTACGCCCACTTCGGGATCCACGAGGAGATGCTGAAGGACGAGGTGCGGACCGTCACATACCGCAATGCGATGTACCACAACAAGCATCTGTTCCAGGGCAAGGTGGGTTTCACTTCCGGCGATTTTCTTGGTTACCATTGTTTTTAAACTGGTACTTTCCACCCCCTTTGTAGACCGTTCTGGACGTGGGCTGCGGCACTGGCATCCTGTCCATGTTCGCCGCGAAGGCCGGCGCCGCCACTGTGATCGCCGTCGACTGCTCCAACATCATCGAATTCGCCCGCCAAGTGGTCATTGACAACAATCTGCAGGATGTGATCAAGGTGGTCAAGGGCAAGATCGAGGAGATTGAGCTTCCCAATGGTATTGAGGGCGTGGACATCATCATTTCCGAGTGGATGGGGTACGTCTCGAGTTTTTAGAGGTGTAAAAAGACTTAAATGAGTCTTAGTTTCTAATAGAGCCCTGCATTAATGGATTCAATGAATTATTTTGAATGAATGAATTAATTGGAATTTTGAGTTTAATATAATTGAATGGCATGAATTATAAAATAATTCTAACGACAATTTATTTTGAAGAAAAAAGGGCCATCATTTTGTGATTAAATCTGCCTGCATTTTATTTACTATGCAGTTAACATTGATTTGCTAAAAATTTACCACGATTTCTGCTCAAAAAAAAACCACAAAAAAAATCTGGCAAATTAAAAAAATTTATTAAATTTAATTATTCATTCATTCATTTCGGAATGAATTAGAAAAACATTTATTATTTGACATAGAATTTAGAGCCATGCAAGAATGGATTCAATGAATTTTTTGTTTTATATAAATGAATTAATTTGAATTTTGAGTTTAATAGAACTGAATGAATGAATGGCATGAATTCCGAGATAATTCAAACGACAATTTCTTTAGAACAAAAAAGGGCCATAATTTAGTGATTAAATCTGCCTGAATTTTATTCACTATGCAGTTAACATTGATTTGTTAAAAATTTTCCACTTATTGTTTTCAAAGGAAAGCACAAAAAAAATCTGACAAATTCAAAAAATTCATAATATTTATTCATTCACTTCGAAATGAATTAGAAAAGCAAATATTATTATTTATTTGACATAGAATTGAATTGAAGAAATCAGAAATGTTATGACATACGACAAAAATTGAATGATTCACGCAGGGCTCTAGTTTCTAAGCATAAAAGGATGAACTGTTATTAAAGAATCCGTTCAATTTAATTCTCCTCAATTTAGCTACTGCCTCTTCTACGAGTCCATGTTGGACACAGTGCTGTACGCGCGGGACAAGTGGCTGAAGAAGGACGGCATGATGTTCCCGGACCGAGGAACGCTCTACATCACGGCCATCGAGGACCGACAGTACAAGGACGAGAAGATCAACTGGTGGGATGATGTGTACGGCTTCGACATGAGCTGCATTCGCAAGGTGGCGGTCACCGAGCCGCTCGTCGATGTGGTCGATCCCAAGCAGGTGGTCTCCACATCGTGCATGGTCAAGGAGGTGGACCTGTACACCGTGCAGAAGGCAGATCTCAACTTCTCGTCCAAGTTCAGCCTGTGCATCAAGCGCAACGACTTTGTGCAGGCGTTAGTCACCTACTTTAACATAGAGTTCACCAAGTGCCACAAGCGCCTTGGGTTCAGCACGTCGCCAGACTCCACATACACGCACTGGAAGCAGACTGTGTTCTACCTGGACGACCATATGACGGCCAAGAAGAACGAGGAGATCACCGGCACGTTCCAGATGAAGCCCAACGAGCGGAATAACCGCGACCTGGACTTTGTCATCGACATCAACTTCAAGGGCGAACTGTCCGAGATCCAGGAGTCGAACACATACCGCATGCGCTAGGTTCAGCCATAAGCAATCCGATCTGCCGATTGTGTACTGGGGCTCAGAGCCCAGCGGCGAGGATTTAAACAATGACTAGACGTAAGGGTTTATTCCAGTGCGATATGTGCAACGAATTCTCGTGTTGCGTCTTCTCCTAAGTTTAAAGTGTACCTTTGTTAGTATACATAATAATATTTTTACACTCGTGCGCCTGTTTAAATTATTATCCGAACATACTTCTAAGAAAAGTTGTACAGTAGCACGTCAATTCTCTCATAATAAACAGTGCATTTAGCACGTCCCCCTTTGCTGGAAACAAATGCATTTTGATGATATATGAAACCAATCAAAACTCGCTGATTGTGCGTCTTTATTTCTTATTTAGAAAAAAAAAGGAAATTTCAAGAATGCATCGAAAGATTTATATTGTCATCTGAAGAAAATCTACTTACATCGCAATCAACTTAGGAAGTCCTATCCAAAAAGTCGGCCGTGGCCGAGCTTGATGTTTGATTGCGACACTGCTTAAATGTTATCCTTTTGGAAATATATTAGTGCCGATCTCGAGAGTCCGAGCGACTTCGGCGGTCGCGCGAGAAGCTGCGGCTGCGGGGCGAGCGGGAGCGACGTGGTGATCGAGACCTGAAAGAGACGCGTTGGTTAAGATAAGATTACTAACGAATTTAAACAAACGAACTATCTGCTTAGAATAGTAAGAGGTGTATGTACATACGCTCCTAACAAAGTGCTGCATAAAAAGTGTGGCTCTGTAAGGTAAATGCTTGCTTGATTCACAATACAAACACAAATGAAAGCTGTGCAAATTGTTTAGTTCAAATGAATCAATTCTATTGTTTTGTTTTGTAAGCTGGAACCCAATTAGGTAGAGAGCTTTACTGTAGCTGCTATAATGTTTTGTAATATTCCTGATACTCTACTATTTAGTTAAAGTTTTCAACGATTTTCGAAACGACAAATGGACGGACAAATCGGTAATACTTGACTGGGCCAGTTTTCTCATTTGGAGATTTCGAGAAAGCTGACCCTGAAAACTAAATATTAATCATTAAACCGACTAGTTGAGCCCTGGTCTTTGGCAACTAAATTAAAGAAAATAATTGTAAGCAATTATTCGAGGGATACGCAGGATAACTTCATTAGTAGAACTCTTTTGGCGACTGCAATGCTTCTTCTAGGATGAAATCATTGGGGTTGCTAATCAAAACTTCTGTGAGGCTGTGACGCTGAACATGGATAATTTAGAGTTGCAAGTTGAAGGTTGCTGGCTGTGGCTGTGAAGATGGTTGCTGTTGTAGATTGTTGATGTTGTAGAAGGAAGAAGTAGCAGTGGAAGTAGTTCTAGCCGAAGGAGTTATCCTGAAAAAGTGTCGATAACTCGCATTTAACAACCACCAAAGGCTTTTGATCGTAGATAATATATGTATACAATTTTCAATTGGCAATATCAATTAATTTGGGGGACAAAGGTCATTGTGCCCCGGATAAAGCAGCCTGCAAAGAGATCTTCACTTTTTCGCAGGCTTCTTTATCACGTGCGGAAAAAAGGCGGGAAAAATGTACATGTTTGCAATTAGCAATTAATGTTTTTGTGATGATTCCAATGAAATTTCGAGCCGATAACAAATTGTATACGTTTTGATAGGGATTTGATTAATTTGGGCGGTCAGAAAGAAGATCGCCGTTGTGGTCTTATAAGCCTAAGGGAATTACCCCCTTTTTTTTTTGAGATTCAAGAGATCCATGACATCTGGTACAGTTTTGCGTTCGTGGAATTACCTGTAGCGCCCGGAACCAGATCGTCCACTACTGCTGCCGCCCTCTCCGCGCCGGCGATCGCGGGAGCGACCCGATGACATCTCCACGCGAATCCTGGTGCCGCAACAGCGCGTTCCGTCCAGGGCACGCGTTGCGTCCTCCGCGTCCCGGCGATCCTCGAACTCCACGAAGGCGAAGCCGGGCGGATTGCGGGCCACCCACACATTCCGCAGTGGTCCGTACTTGGCGAACGCCCCCTCGATCTCGTGCTTGGAGGCCGAGGAGCCCAGGTTGCCCACATACACCTTGCAGGCCAAATCCCACTCCCTGTATCGCGGCATTTTTGTCGTGTGGTGCGGTGCGGTGTCGTAAGTCTTGCGGGAGAAAGTGAGCAGGTTATTGGCTAAAACACGATTATCGGGGTGACTAGGAATCGAAGGGGCATTCAGCCCGACTTGAGGAACTCGATTTGGCACTTACCGTCTAGAATTTAACCTAATTTTGTTAATTTTCTTAACAAAACCTTCCGCCTTTTCCTTTATTTATTGCCCAGAGTGTGACCAGATGCGCAGGTTAGTGGTGATACGTTTAACGATAGATATCGCTAGCTCCGATAGCACGTTATATTTGTTAATAATTAAAACACAAATTAAATTTGAGAGAAAAAATAAAAGACAAATTAATTATATTACATATACATATTGGTAATACTATACATTAGCGGGCTCACCCCCGAAATTCGCGAAAAAATTATCCTCGATGGACCGCGATTTCTTAAGAATTTACGTGCAAAAAGAATTTGGCAGTCGGCCATGGTTCTCTTGTAATTGAATTTCAAAGTTCCCGGGTTTGCTATAAAAAACAAGGGTGCTTTTCTCATATTTTCAATCAAAGTAATTAAGTTTTAATGAGTTCCTATAAAATTAATATATTGTTTAAATGAGTTCCTATAAAATGATTTAATTGTTTAAATGAGTTCCTATAAAAAAATGTAGAATTTTTTTAAATTAAAAGTTTTAATGAACACTTTTCCGCACCACCATTGAGGTAAAGTTCCAGGTTTTTTCTTTAATAACCTTTTATGGCCTAGATATCTCTCTGCTTTAGTATTTCCGAATAGGAAGTATTTGAAAGAAGTGCGTTTAAAAAAGAAATTAAAAAAAAGGCTGCGCCGCAAGCGACAAAAAATTTAAGAAAAAATCGCGCGATTTTTTCTTAAATTTTTTTTCACCTGCGGCGCAGTTTTTTTTGTTCAATATTAAGCTAGCAGTTTTAGCTGAATTAGGGTTGGTGTGTCGCTCAGAAAATACAAATTCAATCTTTAAGTTTAGTTTTGGGTGGAAAAGACTAAAAGAAAGGTTAAAATATATAATTCTCCCTGCACCGCGATTTCTTCTGATTATCATAATAAAAATACACATGTGGTCATCCACGGTTATGAGAGTTCTTAAGAACTCGCTGTCCATCGAGGATCATTTTTACGCGGTTGTGAGGACTAGTTCCCTATCACTATGGACGGCAGTCCATGTAGTGACGAAGCGCACCAGGAGAGTGTGCGAAGGCGACTACTATATATACACGAAGAAATGAAAATCTACTGTGATGGTCCGATCATAATAAATGATACACCTATCGAAAGGTGTATGAGAAAATATTAGAAAGTCTATTTAATGACGAGTGTAATAATTTTTCGTCACAAATGTTGATATCAGAACTTTTGTATGTTGAAGGTGCGATCGTCACTAGTTTTTTACCTCGTTAAGAGGTGTTTTTATTTGATAATACCAATTACTCAGATGTTTGGAATTTTAAATTAGTCTTATTTTGACAAAAAAGAAAAAAGGGTACATATATACATATATGATTTTTATAGCAAACGTTAGAAAAGCATACTTGTTTCTTATAGCAAACCCGGGAACTTTGAAATTCAATTACAAGAGAACCATGGCCGACCGCCAAATTCTTTTTGCACGTAAATTCTTAAGAAATCGCGGTCCATCGAGGATAATTTTTTCGCGAATTTCGGGGGTGAGCCCGCTAATGTATAGTATTACCTACATATTAAATTACCATCAAAGACATAAAAGTTTTCACGGTATAATTAATTTTAGTGACTTGCTCATTCTAATGAATCGGTTATTCTGCCTTTGTTACCTTTTTTTTAAATTAAGGCTTAAAATAGAATCAAATATACTTGGCCTTCTATACATAATTTTTTAGTTTTACCTCTACTTACAAGCAATATTTTAAATATAAATTAAAGTCACTGAGTAACAACTTGTAGCACGAAAATATTTCCGATAGTAACCGTGACTGAAGCTCTCCCATCCCTAATAGACATTTCATAACCAATCTGCCGGGCTCCCCTTCATCGTACGAAAACATTGCCAAGATCTAACTGAAATGAGGCTGACCAAGACCCTGTGCGCCCAGCATCTCGGCTGGCACTTCAAGAAGCACTGGCTGGTCCAGGGAAAGCGGGTGCCCAAGGAAACTGGCGCTGCCGCCGAGCTCCTTAAACTTGGGGTTCAGGTGAAGAATCCAGAGGATCTTTTAAACGCCAAAGTTGAGAGAAAACTGTGAGTATTTGCGGGAAACAACCTCTTGATTGTAATAATTAACATGTATAAATTATCCTGCAGTGTGGGCATTGTGGGCACCCGCGAGAAGGCGATTCCCGAGGACAGCAGGCACCCCGATTGGCACTCCACCGTTTGCCACTCCTACTCCGACCACAGCGTGCTAATTGGCGGATTGCCACAGGCCCAGGTGCTGACCAACTGCATCGAGATCCCGACCTTTCCCAAGCAAGTCGAGGATGCCATCGCCAGCCAGCAGTTGCCCAAAACCATAGACAAGAGCATTCGGCATGCCATTCTGGCCTCCCACGTGCTCGATGCGGAGCAAGTGAAGCTGCCCAAGGTGAGGCTGCCGGAGAGGCCGCGTTTCAATCTGCCCCGCTCCTACGGAATTTCCCACGAAAGGGTCAAGTGAGTAACCACTTACATGCCCAAATAAAACCCACAATAACTTTGATATCTTCATCAGTCGTCTGCTGGTGAACAAGCTCCTGCAAGAAACCGAAAAATTGGCCGGTCGTTCAGTCTCCATTCGAAGGAAGCTCATAGACAACGCCACTTTTAAGACCTCTCTGAGTAAAGACGGTGATCTGCTTGGTTTCACCATCAATGCCGAGAAGGTTGTCTTTGCTAATCGCGCCATCGAAGCTGTCAAGGGAAAATTTGAAGGAGTTCTACCCGATCTTTACCCCATGAAGACTACGATCTCGATTCCGAAACAGCACATTTACCAAACGGAGAACTTTTACCGTGAGCTTCTTCAGCAGATAAAAGTTTATCATGCTATTCTAACAATCTTATTCTTTCAGCCCTGCGCACGGACATAAGCTGCTCCCATCCACACACCATCTTCACGGTCTTTAACAAGCAACTGGTTAAAAATTCCCATGGATCCGAGGTCACAACTTCTCAGCTTCAGGCAAGGACATTGGTCAAGGCTTTTGTTGTGGCTGCGGCGCGAGCTAGACAATTGCATGGGGAATCCGTGGAGGGTGCTCTTCCCAAGCCAATTGTCGTGCAGAGTGTCCAGACCGACGGACGGTCTTTCCACTTCGGAGTGCTGCAGCTCAATACACTCGATCTTGGCGCCAATAGCACTACGAAGAACTATTGGTTCCACCGGCAGAACTACGACCTATTCTCCGAGTGCTCTTACGAAGCGGGAAGAACGCATTTGGAGAATTACAACGGCGATGTCTTCCGCATATTTAATGCTTTTTATAACAACTCCTAAATATAAATGCTATTGAATAATAAAATATGTTTTTTGTTATGTCTGTATAAGGCTATTATTATTATAATTGTCATAAATAGCTAAAATGCCAGCACTGCGATTATTTTCCAGGTTGAAATTTCTGAATTATTTGGCGCCTTGTTATTGCCTTTCATTCATTGGTCGATATCTGGGTCCCCAAACCCAAACCATTTCCGTCGACTCCATGGCAACGCGGATGCACCAAATTGTTTATGCATCGATGTATTGACTGCTAATAGAGACGTTGTGCAAAGTTCTTCCACCCACACACATTTAAAGTTTAAAGAGGCAAAAAAATCGCTACCATGAATAGGCCAAAGCAGAGTACCAGCTCCAACAACAGTGGCACATCATCGGAAACCAGCGAGACGCAAAGTGTGGATGACCAGCAAAGTGCTCCGCATTCGAACATTCGTGCGAGTAGTGCATCATTGAGTAGGTGGGTAGTACGACCTATAATTTTAGATACCTCACATATTATTTAAACAATTTTTAACCGATTTTCCTTAGAGCCAAAAACAGTTGGAGACGCATGAAAGAGCTGGCGGCGGAGAAGGAAAAGGAAAATGAGGCCAAGCGACCTCCTTGGCGGGCAGTTAGCGTTTCCACGCTCACCAAACCCGACAAAAGCGCCCTGCTGCGGGCCAAGTTACTGGATGCTTCGAGGTTTTTCGATACCAATTTTTAAATTTTAAAATTACTAACTATTTTCCCATATAGACGGCTAAGAGCTGGCAAGGCCAATGTGGCCTTGCAAACGGACTTTGTGCCCACGAAGCTCATGAAGGAGGCCAGCTTTGGTGTGCAGAAGGATTTGATTTTGCACAAGGACATAGGCATACTCACCGATGGACAGTACTCCAAAAAGAAGGATGGCTATGAGAAGTGTAAGCTTTGTGCTCGAGGCTTTAGGGAAATACTATATAGAGTACTCACTTTACAGATGTGCTCACCTACTCGATGTCCCAAATGACCGATAGTGTGCCTACCGTTTCGCGCCAAACTCAAACGCTGCTGCCCAAGGCCTACAACAAGGACCTGGTCAACTCGTATCTTCCTAAATCCGATGAGGATGACAGTGACATTATCTGCGATGTGGAAAAGAGGCTTGGCGATCAGATTGCCAAGATACGAATGCTTAAATTCGAAGGATCTAATCAGTCTAGGGGAAGTGGGAATAATCCGAACATGGCTCCCACCCTGGCATCCTGGCATTTCGACGACGATGCAGTGGAAATGGAATCGGAGCGACACTTTATACCCTACACCATAGAGTCCTTTAAGCCCTGGCGCAGCTTTGTGCCCTTTCCCTTTCGATTGAGGGGCAATTCCCTGATTGGCAGCCAAAAAATAGATTGGTTCGCCCTTCTGCAGTCCATCGACGACCTGATCAAGGAGTCCAATAATCTGGTGGACAAGCTGGAGCATTTTATGGGGGAAAACCGAGCTCATCGCAAGTCGGTCCTGGGAAATCTGGGTAAAATTCCCAAATTTGAGCCCTCTAGCTTCTCAGCCCCCTCGGAGCAATGGTTGCCGCTGATTGAACAGCAGGAAAAGCAATTGCAAATTATTCTAAGCGGCACCGAGTCCAAAGAAGAATCCTCAAATTAGTAGTCTTCATAAATTGAATCATTAAATAAATACATTTAAAATTAATGGCCTTAGGCTTTAAAAATTAGTTTATAAAAGCTTGTTAAACAATGCACAAAAAATACTTGAATAAAAATAATACAATGGAATTTATTTAAATGTTGACAAAATATTTGGTTGTTAGTGTGGGGAAAACATTCTTAATAAACATTTAACGTACAAAGTTAAGCCTTCTTTTCTCGAGAAATTCCAGATGACTTTCCCTTTCCCTGGGAGTTCTTCTTCGGCATAAGTTTCATCAGAATATCCGTGGCTGATTTACTGTCGAGGGGGCAATTGGAATACACCTCTTCACACGCCCTATCGTTGGATCGTTTTCCGTGCTCCAACGCCTCTTTTATAGCCGTTCCATCAAGTAGGTAATCCACCAGAGCATTTCTGAAAATAAATAATATTATAGTTTATAAATGTGTATTTTAACTACAGTATTTGGGTTACTTACTCCGATAGCATGTGAATAAATTCGTCCATCTGGTCAGAAGATCCGATCTTCATATTATGCTCCGTGGAGCGAACATAACCACAAACAGCACGCTGCATACAGCTCGTGGAGTCAATATTATTCTGACCCAGTACATCGTCGATTTTGTTTATCATGCTGCTAAGGGGTGTCAGGTCACTATCCTCACCTTAAAGTAAGCGGAATTTAAATTAATTATCCTCTACTAGTTTTAAGTACCCACTTCGACCGTATCCTCCGTAGCCGCCATGGAAGGCTGAAAGAATTTTTGGGATCAGTATGATGGCGCCAATGCCCACAAGGGTTCCCAAAACAACACCGCCTAGGTCCAGTTTTATGGGATTGTAGGCGGAAAGTCCTGTACCGCCAGGATAACCCTAAAAAGTTTAAGGAAAAAGATAAATTTTACATAATTTACCTAAAAAATTACATGTACTATATATTTCACGCACATTTAGAGATCCATAACCGGTGGTATATCCCAGTCGTTCCAGTCTATCCTTTGTAGAAGCTGTTTGCGGTTCACTGGGTTGCGTTTTATTTTCGTTATAGTACGACCTATCCCGCTGTACTTTGTCCGCATAGAACCTAAAATAATAACCAAAGTTATTTTTAGTTTTGTCCAACTAAAATTAACTTACTTATGACTCTCTTCATATTTTGGGATTGCATTTGCATAGCTTAGCAACACCATCGCTCCCAGCAATTGCAATATGATGATGTAATTGTTGTTCATTGTAGTTTTGTATATCCTTTTTTATGTTTTTTTGAAGTAGTAGTCCTTTTGCTGCTTTTATCGTTGATCCAACGTGTCGTTCGCTCTGTTCCAAACTAATATTTCGAGTGCTACCAACTCCACTATTTATAAGAGCTACCCCAAAAATTCGAGCAATTTGTTCAAATTACAAAATGTCAAGCAATGTGCGGATTTGAATGCCGTTTATGCGAGTATTTTGGAAAAAGTGAGGAAAGAAACCCATTCTAGCAAAACGAATGAACAGGTGTTTGTAACCATACAGGCACTTACGAGTATGTCCCCACACACGCACAGTGAGCCCTGGCAGAGAAAGACCCATCCATTGTATTTATGTCGCTGTAATGCGCAATTTTCATTGCATACTCAATTATTTAACGAAATTATCGCAGCGACGAAAACGGCGAAGACGCCGACAAACAACCACGCTCGCTGGGCGGATAAATTGAGCGGCCATGCATCTGAAACCAAAAGTCGTATATCTATGTACTCCAATGGATCAAAATCGCAACTTGGGGACCGGAGACACATGGAAGTGTTTGCACCTGCGCGACTTGCATCATTATGAGGGGCACCCGAGCAAGAGATTTCTGGTATTAAGTCACTGACTTTTTGCCGCTCGTTTTTCGTAAATATTAAAAAGGCCTAAAATATATGAGCTTTTACATTGATATTTATAAAAAGGGTTAAAGCAACTCTAAGAAAAATTACTGCCTTATAAAAGATTGACGAAAATGTTAAGCATTAATGTGCTAATTTGGGAGATCTAATTAAATATAGTTTAAATAAATGAATTATAAAAACTAAAGAACAAAAATTATAATGACAAAGAAAAGAATTCAAGAAACCATAATTCAAATACTAACACTAAATAACAACAATTATAAAGAGTATTTCTTATAAATATATTTCTAAAAGCTACATATTTCTATAGATTAGAGATCGGGGTCACCAGACTCAGACATCACATTTTATCACGGATTAGTATTAATAAGTAGATTACATATGTAAGTATAGCTGAGATCAGCAACCCCTTTCAAGTATAATATTTAAACATTTAGAAAAAATATCGAGATCTAAATTATTATTTTAACGTACAAAATATTTAATATTGTTTTGGAGAGCTAAAAAGCTAGATAAGAAAGGCAAACAAACTAATCCATGACAGTAAACAATATTAAACTCCTTGAGGAATCAGTTTATATCAAATCCCATTAGCCAATTTATTTGCTGGTAATTTTTCAATGTCCATTTACACTTAATTGATACAAAGAAAATAACAAAGTCCAAGTCAGTGCTCAATGACATATTTGTTCTCCGATTAGTGTGACTTTGGCAGCCTTGAAATTACGAGTCATTCATTGCCTCTCGTTAAGGTTAATGTCATAAAGAATTTGCTTTTTTTAATTTCTGCCATGGTTTTGTTTATATACAACCAGACACCTACACACCCGATTTAATATGTGGGTATACGATGATGTGCAGTTTATTTATATGTTCACAAATACATGTTTCCGATCTTATTGTAAGATTGTATGAGTAATCTGGCCTCAAATCGTTGGAAAACAAAATTTATTTTTATCTTATTTTCATTTTTGTATTTTTTAAATAATTTATTTCCAGATATTTGTGTGGAAAGCTCTGTGTCCGGTCCACAGGTGATACCCACCGAACATAAATTGCTCTCAGGATTTTAATTTCATGCCTTATTTGATTTATATGTACATGGAATGCCAACTTAAAATTGGCTGTCTTGGCAGAATGTTCTTTGTTTGTTTGTCACTCAATCTATTCACCAAAATTAACTCGATGAACTGTTCGTTGATGTTTTGAATGATGGGAAACTAATCCCAATACAATAGAATGCTATTAAATTAAAGTTCATTTGGAAAAATAAAATTGTACCACCATGAAATCATTTTGCATTCCGACAATGTCTTTAATTGAATGTAAAATTCAACTGTATTTGCAATTTTCAATAATTGCTCATTAAATGTTCAATAATTGCTCATTAATTTCAGAAATCTTGTACGGAATTTAAAAATAAATAAGCCACAATATATTTGTGCGCATATCGACCCATATATCAACTCTTTGCAAAAAGGGCCACTTTAGCACATCATAAAGATACATTCATTCAAAAATGTTCCATGAGTGTTAGATCTATAAATAAAAAGCTTCTGGAAACAATCCGTGACGATTGTTTTCGAAAAGGGCTCCCATATCCTGTGGGCACAAGACGATATACATTTGTACATAGGCTTTTCCCAACACAACTGTATGAAAAGTGCTGGCTTTATGTAAACAGAATTTGCTCGCTCTTTTGCGACGAGAGATGTCAATGTTTCTTAATTCCAAAAATAAGTTTATTTGGGAGATGGATAGAAAAAGAGGTATGGACTGAGCGTGAGAGAGAGACAGAGAGCGCGGGATCGAAGGCTGTGAAAATTTTGAAAAACATTTTGAAAAAATTATAAGCAAGTGCTCCGTGCCATTCTCAGGCAGATCAACTCGAACGGGCGTCAAGTGAACAACACGCAACGACGATATTTCCGAACCAAATCCAACGAACAATTCAATTTGAAATTTCACAAAAGCATCCAAATCTAAAAATCGCAAAATGGTTTACGAAAGTGGATTTACGACTCGCAGAACTTACTCCTCGAGGCCGGTGACGACTTCTTACGCCGTTACGGTAAGCCCTTCGACATAAAATTATTTACTTGACATACGGTAGTGTGGTTTTCCTTGATTTAAATCTGTGAAATATATCTGTGCGTACAGTTTCCAAATTCCAAATTAATACGAAAGCCTGTGAATGCAAACGCTGCGGATAAATTTGACAAATTTGAAAGCAGTTAGCTAATAGCTAATCGAATCTGTAGTCACAAGATTTCAGTTCTAAGCGCTTGTGTCCCACTTGCTGTACTCAATGGTTTCATTTTGACAAGCGAACAGATTATTTAAGAAATTGAAACACGTTTGATTGTAAAGTGTCTACCAATTATGAATATCGTATCGAACTTACAGTATACACGTAACTAGCTGGTTTTTGACAACTGAATGTCCTTGTGCTCAAAAATATTTTATGATCACCTAGATGTTCTGTAATGATGTATATATGCGAAATAGTATTTTCAGGTTCAGTGTAAACATTTGTGTAGAAAATCATACATAAATCTATTTCTAACAACTTAATAACTTTCATAATGGTTGTATATAAGTACTCGAACTATACTATACATGTGTGATTTATGTGCGTGCACAGCCTAACCAAAATAAAACCAGACCGAAATTATAAATATGTGACAAAATTATTTGACAAAATTATGCGAGTGTGAAAACATTGCAATTTTTGTCGTGAGATCGTGGGAATTGAATTTTTCCTAAATTTATTGCGGCGCGATGATCTTCATATCTCTTTCGGATATACGTGTTTACTCACCTCCCAAATATAACACCCGAATACATTTAGAAGAATTTAGCGGAGGCCGAACATTTTCTTCTCTATCTATTTTATTATTATTTACAAAAAGTTGAGGTCCGGGTCCGTCTAGTGCCCAAAAATGTTTAGCATATAGGCGAGTGGAATTCCAAACACATGCGAATTCTCGATGAAACTCATACGGAGGCAACTCTCTCGATAATTTGTTTTTGTACGGGCCGTGGTTTTGCTTTTTGTATGTGTAATACTATATGCGCGCGCATTTCGCTCTTCGCTAGTCCTAAAAATATCTTTCCGATTTCCATAATATATTCAAATAAACCGAAGCCATGGGAAGAACCAACAATAAAATAACGGCAAAATTTTCGAAAAATTAGAAGATAAATGATGAGAAAAGAAAAATCAAAAGACCCATATTTCAGACAGTTTAATGTGATGGTAATCCAAAGCAAGGATATATATGTACCTGAGATCCCCAAGAAATCCATCTTGTCTGGACACTTTTTGTTTAACTTGTATATACATTTTGATGAACACGAGAATCTTTACTTAATATCGTATAATAATAGTATGATTTGATGAATGAAAAAGAGATTAATATGCTTGATGACATTGATGTGGTTCTTTAAAATATACCCATATTATTCAAATGTAATGCTTGGTATTTACGGATAGGGTGCAGAACTATTAACTTGGCTATATTGCTGTACATGAAATAAACGTTTGCTGTTTGTGTTCCATCTTAATGCTGCGAGTGATTCTATAATGCTCCCATTGCACATTACTTACAACCACACTACGTCGTATCAAAATGCATATATACCTATGTGTATTTAGACTAGGGTGGACCTTTTGGATTAATTACATTCTAAAATTTGTATACTGGAAACAAGCAAAGAAACCAATAAAGTAGGCTAACTTTTTTTAGCAAGGGCACGAAAAGATAGAGGTCCACTCTAGAGCTGAGAAACATGTGTAGATATGCAGGTTGTGTCATAATGTAAGGATGTTCGAATATTGGATATAGCTTGACCTGACCCACCCAGCACAAAACGAAGCTGTATATAAATGCCCCGCACTGTGAACTGTATATATATGTTAGACCCACCGCCCACACAGTTGAGTTCCCAGCACCGCCAGCAGTTCGCTGCACCACCTAACCACTGAGCCATCGCCACCGCTTAATACCCGGCTGACCCAGAAATTAAAACGAAATATGTGGACTTTTGGGCATTGCAGAGAACGAAGAGAACACCAATTGACTGGGAGAAAGTTCCGTTCGTGCCGCGGCCGTCGCTCATCTCGGATCCGGTGACCGCCTTCGGAGTGCGGCGTCCCGATCTCGAGCGGCGCCAGCGGTCGATCCTCGATCCGATCAATCGGGCGGCCATCAAGCCGGACTACAAGCTGGCCTACGCGCCCATCGAGCCGTATGTCTCGACCCGGGACAAGAATAGGGCCCGCATCCTGGGCCTGGTGCGCCAGCACATCGACACCGTGGAGGCCGGCGGCAATACCGCCGCTCGCACCTTCCGCGACAGTCTGGACGCCCAGCTGCCGCGACTCCATCGCGCCGCCTCCGAATCCCTGCCGGTCCGCCGGGAGACCTACCGCAACGAGAGGTCCGGTGCGATGGTCACCAAGTACTCCTATTAGGGTACTCCATCCTCAGTCACCCTACTGATAACCCGAACCTAAAACGAAAGCTAGGCGAACGAAACTAGTCTTATCTAAGAGCACAAAACCCATTAAAACAGAACAAAAAAAAAAGAAAAAAACAGAAAAATATTACGATAGGCCTACAGTCTAGTCTAGTCATACCATAAAACCCTGTGTTAACCCACTAAACAGTTGTACAAGTTTTTACTCTACACAGAGAAAT